CCATAACTGAGTGTGGATGTGATACGCCGTCGAAGTTTTTCCAGAGTCATTTTAATCACACGTACAATTGCCTCGAGATTTCGATGACTGAAATGACTGATTAATTCTGTGATGGCTGTTTGCATCATTTCATTTTGTTGATCGCGTTTACGACGTGTTGATGCGCTCACAACAGTCGCTGAGCGATTTCGTCCCGCCGATGTGATTCCGGCTGAAGTAAGACGACTTCGATTCAATGTACTATCTCGTCGCCGAGTACTACGTGATGATTTATGGGCACTACGGGCAGTTGTATCGTCTAAACATGGCATCAAATATTTGTACGATAAGAAAAAGAGAAAATTCAAACCATCGAAATCTGTCTCATCATCATCATCGTCAAGATCAGAAGTTGTATTTCCATGTTGAGTGTGGTCATCTCCATCTAGAACAACATTTCCGCATAGAAGATCGATGACCTCGAGAGCAGCATCTTCGACATTGTGAGATTTGATCTGAATTTGTTTAGCTGCTTGGATGCATAAATTCTACTCAGAAAAGACAATATTGAGGTGATTTCTGCCTGTACTTTACTTGTGTATGTTGAAGGAATTCTTCAGGTGTGATTGTTTCATCATCTGGAACATCACAAAGTGACATAGTCGATATTTCATTCAGCACAGAATCAATCCGAAAGGTAATCAGATCATTTGCTCGATCTAACATCAGGTCAAATTCATCCAATGCTGAGTTAACCTACATATAAAGTGCGAAAAACCGTCAAATCATACATTTCGTATTCGTTTTACATACAGAATTGATATAATCATCAATTGTTAACGAAGCCCATGTTAACGACGTTAGCCCCGGTTTAACAATATCATTCAATCGTTGGATTTTCGGTGCTAACAATGCTTCAAATGGTTGTTTGATTTTCTCTCGTAAGTGTTTGTTTTTCTCAACCAATTGTGTTAAGTCTTGATAGTGTTTTTTCAAAAATTCTTCACGTTGCGCTAACAAAGCCGCCTCTTTCGGAATTTCTAATCCCAATCGTGCTAAACATTGAGTTTCACGAATCAATTCCAGAATATGTGGATCAAAATTCACTAAATAATCCGGATTGGTTTGCGTTGTGGATGTGACAATTAACGACGAAGGTGCGCTTGTCGTTGCACCAGCGGACAAATCCTCACGGTTGACGCGTATCAACAAACTGGAGTGGATACCGGTAGCGACAACGTCAACTTGACGACGCCATCCTTCGTGATAGACAATTTCATATGTTAGGAGTACTTTCGATAGTTGATTGTAGTTCTTAATGATTTTTTTCGCACCAGGATACTGAAGAATTGTTTTATTGGCAACGAATACGTCCATGGGTTGTTGGATACGCTTGTATAATTGACGCGCCCATGTTATTCGACCTAAATCGGGGAACAATCGACGATGAAGATCAGGAAATATGACTTTTACCTGCTACTGGGGGTAAATCTCGTGAAATCAATGGGTCCTTGGCATGTTTTTGATAAATTTTGGCCACTGTATCTAAATCCTTGGAGTACTGTTGTAAAATCTTGGCATATTTATCACTGATGCCAATATTTGGTATTTGTAATTTCTCGAAACGTTTCAACGAATCAAGCGCTCGTTCGGTACTTCGAATGGTGTTGAAATATTTATCAAGAAATTCATTTAAACTCGCATGAAGATCGGATATCGACCGATCGAAGTCGGCCAAATCATCGTCAACATCCTGTTTACGTTGATCCAAGAAATCATAATCTTTTTTCTTCATCGACGTCACAATCATATTAAATTTCGAATAGAACGGTGCAATGCCTTCTATTTTCGATTCTGCTAAGTGCGAATAGGTATTGATTTTTGCAAACATGTCGATGATCTTTTCGCAACGTCGAACAAACGAATCAAATTTGCCGAAGATGTACATTTCACTAAAATCAAATTGTCGTTCGGATGGATCAGCTGCTAATTTCGCTTTGGTTGATTGAAAACAACGTTGATATTCAACATTCAGTTTAATACAATCACGTAACTTTGATATGACATGAGCTTGATTTTGCGACCAAATCGTTTGAGTATAATTCTCTGTGACATACATTTTCGATGTTGTTATCATTTGATTAGTGATCTACGAAGGTATTTCAGTGATTTTCTTTACTTCTAATAAAGAAAATTAAGCTTACTTTAACGAACAATGATGTCATTCGCTCCGATGTATTGTAATATTGTGAGATGGAGTGTATCATTCGTACAGCATTGATGAGACCTGGAATGCCTTCTAACATTCCAACAGGATCGGAGTTATACAGTGGTTCACAGAATTTCTCCAAGGTATATAAGTATCGAACGTTATCTTTCGCTTCATTTGCGGCATCAGTGATTTTACCGTCTAGAACTTTCCATTGCTATGAAGAAAGATAACAAATTTAAGAGAATTCCGCGTCGTTGAAGAGATTTTACTTGAATAAGTTTCGACCGTGCTGTTTGTAGAATTGTTAGTACAGCTTTGACATCTTGGCCTTTGATTTGATAGAGGAGAAAGTTGAATTTCGTCATGCGTTTTTTCCAATAGTCTAATTCAGCGCGTGGACCGATATTATCTGCTTCTCGACGAATTTGTTCGCTCTCCGCGAGAACCTATGTTTAAAACAATTCATAGATACGACCAATTTTACAGTTAAAATTCATGATTACTTTTTCCATCTGTTTAATCCACGTTTTCATTGTTTCTTCGACGGATGCTAGATGTTCATTATTCGATGCAACAGATATATAATCTCCTGCATGTTGCAATTGTGCTAAATCAATTTTATCACAAGGTTTCAAAAGAATTCGTTCATTTATGCTTTCTTGAGCGCTGTTCAACATTGCGACAAAGTTATTCAATCGACTGAGAAAATCAACTTTAACCAATTGATTGTTATCTGAACCTGTTAGTTTTCCCCAAGTCGTATCAGATATTTGTAGATATGGTAAATAAATATCAGCGATCGATCTACTCAACGCCTGAAGCAATGGTTCGGTGTTACATTCGAATGTATAGAAGCAAACTTCCTAAAAATTCAACAAAAGTAACCTCGAAGAGCAATCCGTCAGTGAACACATACATTGACAATATTTTGTCCGGTAATTTTTGTTTTATTCGAATTTCGCAAGAAGCATAGACAAATTCCGCGTAGACTTTGTTCTTCTAGATTCGCGATCAGTACTTTCGGTTTCGCAGGCTTGAGACTAGCTGTATTGGAACGCGTGGTATACGGCGAGTAACCACGACGATGTGAATCAGCTGAAATACGTCATAAACATGTCGATCATGCAAACAGAGAAGTAAGAATTTACTTTCATTGTGTTGAACTTCAGGTTCTTGGTAGAAAAAGACCAAATATTGATTTCCATTGACTTCGAAAAACTCGTCTATGAGATTAAACTACAAATAAACCAATTCTAATCTAGGAATTGCAAAGAAATCGAATGACATACATTTTGACTTTCGACGACATTGTCTTCGACTTCGGATCGATCAATGCCCAATCGTGTTGCAATAATATCAAATAAATGTCGATGTGTTTCATCAAGAGTTGCTCGTTTTTGATCTCGTTCATCACGAATACGTTGCTAAAACAGACGAACTTCCTCAAAATGAACCGAATCATTGACAAAAACTTACTGCAAGTTCCACCGCCGAAACATTCGGTCTCGTGCGTGTCATCATCTTGACCTAAATGGTGCTCAACTTCGTTGTTGTAACTTTTCTTCTAGAACAACATTAAGACTAAATATTGTGCTTACTCTACACTAATATTTCATGGCAATGAATCAAACAATAACATTGAGAACTTTCTGTTTTATTTTATATGAATGTATATATGCGTTGTTAGGTGCGTTGATGTGTGTACGTTAAAGAACAGACGAAGAAATTGAAGATTTCTCTCTCGTCCAATTTAAATGAGAAATAGAAAGAAAAACACAAATGTATATGTTAATCAGACATGTTACGAGGAAGAAAGAGAAAGAAACTTTGATCACTTTCGTCGAATTTGCAATTAAAGACAAATCATCTTAATCAAAATGTTAAGGAGAAGAAAGACTTGAATGATTTGTATGTACACACTCATCCTCTTGAATAATTCAAGATGTTTATCTTTGTAAAAGAAAACGCACATTTGCTCTCTTTTTCTTAGTTATTGTTTTCTTTGTCTTGTCATTTCAAATACTTGATACTGTCGATGTTCTCTCGAGTAGATGGGATCGAAATGAAGATGAATTGGGTTATTGTTACCATGGTAGTACGCGTTTCTTTAGATTATGAATGTTACTCAATGGTTTCTTCAATTATTATAATTGATCTTAAAAAAATAACAATGAATGAAACTTTTTTTTATTTCAACATTGTAAAAGTAGCTGTTTGGAGTTGGTAATGATTGTAAATTTGTATTTTCTCTTTTCTATTGACATTCGATATTCGATCAGAGGGTGAGTGAGAGAGAGACGGCGAAGAAAAAACCTATTAACTTATTGGCAAAATGTGATTAATTCTGTCATTGTTATGTAAAATGCTATGACAACGATTAGAAAATGTAGAGTAAATGCGTAATAATACATGATTTTTACAATAGACGTGATTCTCAATTAGTCAGTCAATCATTCGAAGAGCAAAGCACGACGAAAAAAAATAGAATTTTTATCAATCGAAAGATGTCGCTCAGGGATTCCATGTTTGCAATCCGGATGAGTTTTGAATGTTTAATTTTGTTACACATAGGCACTGTCGATAGATTCTATACTCCTATTTAACATACTTCTTTTGAGAACATTTTATTTATTATTGCGTTAGAAAGAAAATCTGTCTAATTACAGATATCGCTTTGCACAGTCTTCTGTTACTTATTCCGCTTGAAAATTATACTTAACATATATAATGGCGTTTAATGAAATATGTAACAACATAAAGACATTTCATGAATAGTGTAATAGACTTTGCCACGATGAAGACTAAGATGTCAAAGTAATTCTTTGGAAAGAATCAGATTTCCATCATCCGTTGGATTCTGTACTATGATCGTAGGTAAATTGTCGATAATTAGAGATTTCTTCTCGTGGAGGTGACTGCCGTTGAACTGATGATAAGAAAGTTTCGCTGCCGTTGTTGACGTTGTTCGGCCACCAACGCCACCATTAATGCCCATCAATTGTTTCGCAGTATACTCTCGATTGAAATACACGGCATCCGATCGACGATCCTTGTTTGGATAACGACAATCGTCGCATAGGAGAAGTAAACTCTGTCGGAATTTTGTTGACATCACTGAATACAGCAAGGGATTGATCTATAGAAAAACACGAAATGTATATGATGATGATCGTAATTATTGTTTAGACATAGGCACAAGTCCTTGCTGTCTAAATACTGTTTACACAGTAATAATCATTTTGTTTGTCGTGAAAATTACATGTCTTTTAGGACAGACTTCTATTTGAGACCTTGACAAACTTACTGCTGAATTAAGATACAAGAATGAGCGTGTGATGATGGCGATGAAGGAATATTGATGGAAGCCAATGACAGCGATCTCTTCGAACTGATATCGTTGATGTATATAAGCCCAGATTTTGTATGGAATGATAAATATGAAGAATGTTAGGATCAATGTGATGAGTAGTTTCGCTACTTGACGACGGTAACGTGTAACAATTGAATTGTCACGTAAAAGTGCTTCGCGACTAAATAATATACAACAAATCGAGAAATGCCAATAGCAGAGCATTAAGAAAATGAAAATATATAAATATAGTGTACACAAAATCAAGTAGATATTTTTCCATGATTCAGGAAATACAGTAAAACCTAAAAAATGGAAACATTTCTTAAAATATCAATGTTCGTATATTTTGCTTACATGTTACAATTGTTTCACCATAGATAGATTGAGCAGTTCCTGTTTTCGAATACCGAAAGAAAGGTATGGAAACTAAACATGACAGAATCCAAATGAAAACGACAGTAGGCAATGTTCGGAATAATGTAAACCGAAGTGCAGATGTCTAAATCAAAACAGACATACATGTCACATGCGATTCTAAATGCATTTTCTCCTGTACTTTCAATGGTTGACAGATAGCAACGTATCGCTCATAACTGATCGCCATAATGGTCAACACTGAACATGTCGATGTGACATTTTGCACAAATGGACCAAAACTACCTAAAAAACAACGAATTCCTCATCCTTCGAAACTACTCCGAAAACAAAACACATACACATAAACTTTCCCAGCCGATGTTTATCTTCGCCATATAGATGTTGATAACCTTCCGGCGTACAAAATATTAACAGAAATAAATCAGCCATGGACAAATTCGTCAAGAGAAGATTCGTAGCACTACGCATGTTCCGATACCGTGTTACGATAACAATCACCAGGATATTTCCAATAACTCCAAATAGTAAAATAATTGTATAGAAAATACATGCTGTCGTTTGTACACCGGGTAACCACTGCACATGATCAATAGTATGATTACTTTCATTAGAGAACATATTGGTTTTTAGAGCAGAGAGATTAGTTTAAAATACCATGCCATTCAAAGATCTAGTTTGATAGATGCTATTCTAAGAAAAAAAAACAAAACAGAAATTCATTTCACAACCCTTGTTCATCTTAGTGAAATTGCATGAAATAGGAGAAGAAAATGAAGAGACATATAATTAAAAAACGAAATGCGATCTGCTCTTATTTCCTAAATACAGATACTTTCTAAGCCTCGAAGGTAGAGTATCTATTGCAGTCTCCTTCGCAGACAGGGTTCTGAAAAACTGAAGCATCTTTGCGATATTTTCTTTTGTATATGATTATCTTGATGATTGACAAGGTTAATAATGCCAAAAATATTGACCGTCAAAAACATCAATGCGAGAGAAATCCCTAACGAATGACACATATAATTATTCGACTTCGATGAGCATTGCTCGAGAGGAATACTTTTGTCAAAAAGTTGACAAGTACTATTTTTTTGTCTGAATAAAACGAACAATACAAGAAATCGAAAGATCGACAGGAGTCTTCAATTGAGAAAAAGAAAAGAATAGAATGATCCTTTTTTTGATTTCATTTTCTTGAAAAGTTCGAGCTCGAAGAATGTTCATCGATGACATACTCTGAAAGTTTTCTTTTATATCTTGTCAAGGATTTCTTTGACGTAGAAGGAGGAGTAGACACGACTTCTATTCAAATGTAAATTACATGAAATTTTTCGTCTATCTATTCTAATGACGTCAATCAAGGCAATCTTGTGACTCCTGAGAAAATCTCTTTTCTTTTTTATCAAAAATTTATTCCTGAGAAATTAAATACATTTGACCTTATCACACATTATTTCATCTCTCAGCTCAAAGTGTGCTACTTTTCTTTGTCTCGTCATCTTTTTTTTATTCTAGAACCTGAACTCTACTTTGCCTTGAGATAAACTGAGAACGAAAGAAAAACGATACCGAAAGTGCATTGGGCTAATCAAATTTTCTAACCTTGTGTGGCTACTACACGAAAGCAAAGTAACAACATTATCTTGCTAATTCCGATCCAAACCAAGACAAGACTATGATTATTCTGATCAAACGATTGATTAGAATACAAATCATCGAATCGATAGTCATGTCGATCTATTGTAAGAAGAAGAAAAAAAGAAATGTATAGAAACTTTCACAGATAAGGAACTAACAAAATTGCTCACGGCGATAATATATTCTTGTTTTTTCTTCAATAATTAGTATATAATGTATTTCATCTCCTTTCTCGAAGAGAAAAATTAGTCACATTTCAATAACAAACCAGTTATTTACCATCTGATATATTGACAGAGAAGATTTCCCTTTTATACAATCGAGTGCATTGTCTTCATACCGATTGGTAATGAACAAAGACGAATCTGAATAATAAATGAGGCTCCAGGCTATTTCGAAGTCTTCGAACGTCCTCCTGGACTAAAAAAAGAATTTTCAACACAAAACCTAATTGTCTGGTGAAGTTTTTGATAGGAAGTTCTTTTCTTATCGACAGAAACCTTTTTTTTTCTTCCTACCCGAATATAAATTCAACTAATTACGAGTAAATTCATCAACAAAAACATTTTCTTCTCATCCTGTCTTAAAACTAAACATAATTAGAACACTTCCAGATATAAGCGATGTACGTGATTATTTCATGAAACAAATAAATACTTTACTATTTGATATAAATTTTTCCACATTCCGTCGATATTTTATTCATCTTTCACTTTTGTTAGAGTTATCATTGATGAAATAATTAATGGGACCAAATTGCCCCTAGGACAAATAGCATCACTTTACCACAAACGTACTATTCAATCAAACGACACGTATAAATAGAAACAGAAGACTGATAATCAATTTGATTAAAAGTACGACTCGATGATGAAAAACTGAATCCATTGAAATCCATTTGAAGCCCAGTCTGTTATATCGTACAATCTTTCGCATCGAAATTCAATTAGACAACTTCTCATCACATAGATGACATACGACACGTTGCGCTGTGAAGAGAGAGAAAACGATACCAGCATTCAAACATACTAAATACAACACTCAATTCGGCTTCTGGTGGAATACGTTGATCTACTCGAAAGTCAACGTATGAAAAATGTCAAATTCATCACTCTGTTGACAAATAAACGCTATTTTTCACACGTTCGTTCGCTCATTTATCAAAATATCAGTGACATCTGCATTAACTAAGGCGAGGTAGAGTTGATATCACCTCGATTACTTCTCATGGTCGTTTCTAACTTCTTGTGTATGAATGTTAAATATCAATGCATGCGAAGCTTTGAATAAGTATTGACAAAAGAGTCAAATAAGTATTTCTTTTTCTCATATCAAATATTGACTCGCATCAGATGAATTACAGACAATCAAAGTGATAATCTACGCGATATTTCCAATGCATTGTGAACATGTGCATGTAATCTATTTGAAATTCTTAGTAATCACACATGATTTGTTTTCTTTTATTTGAACAACACTGTACATATCTTAAGCATTTCCTGTTCTATTCTGTTTAAAATTCTCTATCCGCCCTCATTTTCTCGCTGCATTTTGCATTGCCAAGTCTTAACTAACGTCTAGAGTAATATGCTTTCCTATTCGTAAGAGTAGGGATTTCTAATGTTCAATGATCATGTCATTACAATGAAAATATAAAAGAAAGATACGTATAGACGCATTTGATTCATGGACAGTTTCACACAATATAAAAAGGCTCGAGACATTCATTGTGTTTCGTTTGAATTGTTTCATGAAATGAAGAATCGAAACGGAAAAAGTTGAAGGATCAACAGATTAAACGCAATGATTTCGTTTTTCCAACATCATCATCATCGTCGACACTTCGTTCTTTGTTTGCAAATACAAAAGAAATCGAGACGTTTTTCTTTTGTATGTAAAGTGTTCGAAGTATTGTTTTTTCTTCTTTATCTTCGTCAAGTGTTTAACCTCAAATTTAAAGTAGAAGTTGAGAAAAAAAAGTAAACGAACTCGAAGCAATATTCTTTCCGACGACAAACTTGAAAACGAAAATTCAAAATGTTTGTTTATTATTATTGTTTTTTCGCGAGAAGAACACGAGCCAAACTCTCGATGACTAACCCTATTCCACCGATGACAGTTATCTCAGTTTATTTTTCTCACTCTTTATTTATACATCAAGGTTGAATATTCCCATCTAGACAGTATTTATTGACATACATGCTGAATTAATATCAGATATGAAGTATATGCATTATAGAAAATAATCGATTTTGAAGGACCAAAGGAATATAATTTCACTACTTCATCTGATGATACACATCGATCGGAAGAAAAGTAAATCGAATGATCCTTATGAGATCAATCGAGTGACACATACGTACGCAAATATATACATACATAAATGTATATGTATGCTTCGAAATAGTAGTTCAGTGCATAAATTATTCATTCTGGTGTTCGCACCCAATAAAGCACATGTTGATTGTCTGACTTTTTTTTTATTCATATTGTATTTACTGTTCATGATGCGAACAATTTTAGAAGGCACGTCGTTAATACAAAAAAAAAATCATTAGTTTCCAGTGTCTACCATTGATCTTCTTAGGTGACAGAAAGAACAAGAAAAGTCATTCATAATGACCGTCTGTCCAAGCTCAATCGAATAGCTGTACATATAATATCTCGTATTTATTCGCGATAATCTAGGTGAGAATGAACAAATGTTTTTCTTTCATCAACGACATGTTTTGAAAAGTTGTCCTAATTTAGATCTTTTATTTGTCTAGTTATCATTAAGACATTTATTTTATCTCATTTGTGTACATTAGTACTCTTCGCATTTTCTCTCTCTCTCTTTCTACGTTTCGCCGTGCATTAAAGCAATAACCACAATTATTCTGCACGTTACATTGTACAAAAGAACGAAAATACTCTCCGCTTCTATACACGTATACGTACATACGGAAGAAAAGGCGAAGGAGAAGAAGAAGAAGAAGAAGAGAGACAGAAAAAGAAAAAGAAAAAGAGACAAAAAAGACGGTTCGTTTCTTCGACGTACGCTTGCGTTGTATCGATCATATCGTCGTCATTGGTACTACCCGTCTTGGATCGTCGTCATTATAGAGTTAACCTTCGATTTTGAATGTTTGAAATCTCATCATTTTTACATTGGTAACTATAATTATGATGCGAAAATTTCGTCGAATCTTTCGTGCACCCTCAACTCCACCATCCGCCGCAGCACCGACTAAAGATGAAACTATGCACAAGACGCATAGCTGTGACTCAACGTTGGATGACGATGCGTCATACGTCAAGAAGAGATCATCGCCTGTGACCAATTGTTCGAATTCGACAGGTAAAAGAAAGAAATATATATATGAAAGATTCGAATGCTTTCAGTTTTTTTCTTGTTTTCGATTCCATTGAGATTACACGTCAAGGTGAATTTGCTTTCGTGTGTGCGTTTATAAGTTTTCTACATTTGCGTTTTTTTTTTCAAGTAATTTCATCTGTATCAGTCAGCCGATTGTGATCTGACAGGGAGATGCACGGTTAACTTATGTAGAGAGGTAAGAGCGTACGATCAATGGAAAATGTGACTACTCATTTTCTATTCAATCTTTGATCATTGAAGATATAATGATCAATTCTAATTAGGTTTTGTTGATTGTTCACACATAGTTGTAGTCATACGTATAATGTCCGGATAAAGAATTTCTTTGATCGTTTAAAAGAATAGAGAGGAAAGAAATCCAGACATACACAAAACATCTGGTGGTGTTAGTCAACCGACATAATATACTCTCATTTACTATCGTCTTGTATATAAATATTCTTCTTAGTTACACAGCGTGCTATTCAAGATATGTTTATATATATTGCGTGGGTTTGCGTTCGAACATTCTCACAAAACACGCGTACAAGGATAGTAACAGTCATATGGCTTCGGTATGATCGAGGCAATGATGATGTGAGATATTGATAGTAATAAATGAAACGTATTCTTCACCTTTAACATTTGACGCATCGAGGTGAAGACAAGTATTATATACAGAGAGAGAATAATAGATAAAGAAATACGTACATGCTTCCATATGACTACGTCGGAGAAAAGAAAACGAGAGATTTATCATTCGTGATCAGCTGATTGTATCTTTAAGCAACTAGATCAGAGATTTTGCTCTTGACAATCAAGAGAAAAAGATGAAAGATTTTCAATTAAAAACAAGGTTATCTCTAACCAAAATCAATTTCCTCCAGTGATATGAAAGAGAAAAAGTTATGCTAATCTTTTTTTCCAAGATATGAATGTCTCGAGGAAACCTTTCGAGAAGTCATAGTTCGATGCGATACCGTCAATTGAATCGACCTAGCTGAAAAGAATATATCGTTTTCATTCGACGTAAGTGTAATATGTATCTACATTTATACAACGTAAATTGAGTATTTCGAAGTTGGTTATTTGATATCGATTTTCGCGTCTTTTTCTTGTGGTTATATGGATCAAAATCGGATCAATACACTTGTCTAGTATATATAATACATCGACGTACGAATTACTATTGATGTGCACAGGATACATTATTCACACGCCTTCAAGCAACCGAATCTGTTGAGAATAAAAGAAAGAAAAAGGCGAGAAGAGTAATTGTCAATAACAGGTATTTGAGAATTTTTCTTAGATACATATTCTTCTTTCTTTTTTCCCATCTGTCTCCTATCTTTACAGAACACTGTCGTAATTGAGAATACGTAGAATATATTGAATAAACAGTCGAGATATACAATAAAATAAATCGACAATGGATGAACAAAGTTAAAACAATTGTGTTGATAACCTCTCTCTTTCTCTCTCATCTACGAAGTCTTTCATTTCGCGTTTATTTCTAAAGAAAACGAGAAATCATGCTTCATCTTCTTCCGTTTACGTTTCTATCGTGCAGACATAAAATCCCTCGTATGCATTTAGGAGAAATAAAATGGAACAAGCGAGTAAATGACGACGAAGAAGAATAATAACCACATTTGATTTTCTTCCTATTGTGTGCATGTTTTGCTTAGTTTTATTCAACAAATAAAGTTCTCTTCTCGTTTGTGTATGTTTGTGAGAAGTCAAAAGTAAAGATCTGCATTTTTGATCGTACGTTGGCGGTTTTGCTTGTGGTTTCATTCGTCAATGAAGAATTCTCGACGCAAACGAAAACGGCAATTTGCATCTGTACCTAGTCAACAGGGTGAGATTGTTTTTTGTCCAATAATCGAAATCGAGGGTTTTTTAGTCACATGCAGAAATTGAAAACGAAAGTTTTCGTTTACATATTCAAATCAGTATAGTTTCCTTCTGGGTAACATTTGATCTTTTTCTCTATTCATGCATACCGTAACCAAAAAATAATCCTACACCTTTGCATTTCTTTTTTCTTTCGATTTGTTACTTATACAAGACATTTAAGTGCACTTTAATATTGAAGAGAAGGTATTTTCTTCGGTAAATTTTTTATTTTTAGCTTATCTCACATTCGCTTTTCAATTTCTTATTTTTCATGTATGTAGAGGGATTAATGACTGTTTGATCGTTGCATATATCCGATGGAGATAAATCCTGTCGAATTCAAATCTCATGGAACAGGATGCATTTTATGCAAGGAGGAAACTCATGATCGTGTGTGTGTGTATTTTGTGAATCAGCATTTACCTTTTTTTTCTTTTTCACACACTTTCAGCGAGAAACCGACCCCTTTTTGTTCTCTAAGTAGATAAGTAGCTGACGCGTTTCATATACATGTCATCGCCCGAGACTATTGGACGAGGAGAAACTCTTTTGTGAGTATTTATAGTAGAACAATCCTCAAATGATTTGTTATCTTCTTTTTGGTTCTCGCGGGCACACGTTTAGAAGGTTAAATCAAATACCGAATAGATTTTGATATTTCCTTGACGTTTAGACTTTCGAATCTGAGTCACACATTTGTTTTGTTTTTCATTAGCTTTCTAAAAATCAAACCTTGAAATTGTACATCATATCGAATAGTAAAGTCAAAGATAAATAGTAGTAAACATTGTGACTCGCATTCGACGTGTTGTATCATTGTTCGAGTACACCAAAGAAAACATGATATGGTTATATGCATCTATATTGATTTACTATTTGTGCTATAAACTTTCGATCTATTTATGGCATATGATCATAGAGATTTATTATCATAGAACGAGTAAGATTTCGTTTGTTTTCGACAGATATCTGTAGCATTCATTCGAAAAACTATGTTGCTGGATGAGTGTTCGCGTTATTTATTCTTAGTAGACATCGTTCGCCAAGATAATTTGTTTAATACATGTTTGAGTTGTAATCTATCTATCTATAGGGTTTGTTTACAGTTAACTTTCTTGATCTTAAATCAATCCGTCAAAATCAATTTAATCATCGAATAGTTATTGTTTGAAACCAATGAGTATACATGTAAATAATAGTGGGAGAATGCAGACGTGTTATTAGATCGTTCTTTTCACTACTTGGTATGTTTGTCAGGTCGATAATTATATTATTCAACTCGAGTATTCACGGAACGTTTTGAACAGTCGTCGTGAGATTATTTGTGAATAGTTGTTTGCATTCTGTGTGACATGGAGAAGTGCGCGCACGTCCATCGTATAATTTGTTTTTGATAGGTAAAATGAAATGTGCTCAGATATATTCTATCCACGTGAGCTTTTAAATAGACTTACTTCGTTCAATTCTCTTTTGTCATTGTTGGTGTATGTATACGTGATAAGGTCGACATTTCTCTCGGTCGCCATATATTGTCTTTCTCCATCTCGCTCTCTCTCCCTCCGTTAGTCGCCCTTCATTCTTTCGTTCCCGTCCATCATACGTAGAAGCACAGGAATACGTTAGTGAAAGCGCTCATCTCTGCATGTTTTTTTTTTATTCTCCTATCGTATCGAGAACAAAACAATTAGTCTTGATAAAAAGAGAAAGAAGGCAGGTAGCCAACTTGACCGAAGTCAGCACTATTTTCTACTGTTGATGGACATGAAGCATGATGGATTGAAGTCTGGTAAGTTGCGCAAACTCGCCGATGTTACAACTGATTTTCTCTCCCTCTCTCTTTCTCTATTCTTCTTCACTTCAAGAAGAATATCTGATTACGAAACAATTGTACAACTTGTTCGAATGAGAAAGAAGATTACTCTTTCATATCAATGATTTCATTCCTATACTATTCCTTCTGTTCATTTTTTCCTACTGACCTACATTGTTGTCTTTTGATAAGAACAAAGAAGAGAGAATAGGACAATATTTTGTCAGTTTCGATTCAATCCCATTTTTTGATTAAATCAAAATTGAACAAAGGTTAAGTAAACAATTTCTCTTTTTTGCAATATCTAGAATCACCGAAAACCACAAATCCTATTCCACATTCACCATTACCTTCAATATCCGACGAGAAACAATATGCAAAAATGCGTGTTATATCTTCTCCAGTCTTTCAATTACGCGATATAATTCATGCTCTATTAACATCATCCTCCTACGATCTAATCTCAACATTTTTAACTTATGGACAATTATTAGGCGCATCGTCCATTCATGGTTATCTCGTTGATCCTACAAATGATACTCAATTACTCATTAATGATGATCATACCTCTTCCCAAGGTATTGCTCTCTACGTTACCTATGATATGAAACTAAGTGATCAACAATGGAAAGATCAGTTCGGCATCCATGAATCAACAAGTACTAAATCGAAAAATCCGACGACGTTTTTTCCTTTAACAGATTATTTATGTATACTAAGTGGCTCACGAGTGATATTCTACGATCCGAATGAACGTATTATCAACGAAGATCGTGCATTTGTTTCGATCTTTGATTTAGAAACAGATGATGTCACTGCATTTAAAGATCAATTCTCGAAATTAGATTATTTTCTATTCAAGTCGAAAACGTACTACAATGGAACGTTAATTCGTCTTCCGTTGCGAACCATTCTCACGCAAAAGCAAACGTTAAATGATTTAAAACAACAGATCTACAAATATTTCAATCTGAATAATTCATTGATCGATTTATTACTGATGCAATTGAATTTGAGCACTATCGATTTCGATTACACGAGGGACTTTGAGATCTTCCAACGCTTTCTATCCTACGAGAAGCATTCTATTTCAAGTATACATGATAATCAATCCACCACACAAATTATTCATTTAACATTATCTCGATTGATAAATGAAATTAATACAAGGTTCGTATAGAGAATCGATGTTATTTCATCGAGCGGAACAATTCGTGAGTTCAAAGATAATCGATTGATAAACTTTAAAGGTTATGAAATTTTTCCTTTTCGCGTTGCACATCCCGATGACCGTGAGTGAGCATCACCTTCACTGAAATAGCTGATAATACTCATTAGGACGGCAGAGTACAGCAGATGTGTATGACATCGAAGAACAGATCAGGTCATTGATATCGTATAGGAGTGTCATCATTATCTGTTTTGACGTGGTTATTGATGGTTCAAGACGAGACAGAGATAATGTTCCATGAAATGATATATATATATATATATATATATATCTTAACCTCTAAGAGATCGGATTTCGGCAGGATTAGAAATGATACATGCATTTGAATTTTAGTGATGTGTCTTGTTGGCTTTTATCGACACATACGAATCAAAGTGATATTGGCAAAAGTAAAACTGAGTTGAAATTACTTCTTCCACTGACACCGCTTAGTCTTGCATCGGAATCGCACAATTCATCAGCACAATCGTATAAATACCAATTAATCCAGATAACCTCATCTCGAACTCTGTACTGTCACTCAACGGCATCAGTAAATCTATCAGCAAAGGATGACCTATCCACACATTTACGTCAAATGAACTTTCCGCAAGCGTACGCATTGTTTTTGAAAGATCTATCTCGATTAATAAAACCAACGATCACGTCGCCATCGAATTTATCCATCGATCTGATTTGGGAACTAATGCCTGATATCGATGAGCATCAACGTTTATGGAATGACAAACATCAATATACTTCGCAATCGCAACCACAAGTTCATCTGATCAATAAAATTATACCCGACATGTGGAAAGAAATTGGTAAGACGGCAGTTTCTGTTTCTATGCATGTTCATATTGAATTTGTTCGAGGCAATATTCTATTAAGTTGCCATGAATAGGCGATTTGAACCAGAAATCAAGTAGAAATTCGTTCTTCACTCTAATATGAACAAATCTCTTCTAGGTAAACAAGAACTGTTCTATTCCGTAACGGATGGCTGGGGCTATGTTGCGATTGAGGATATGATCATCAATAACGTCGAAGCCGGACCTATTCAGGATGTACTCACATTTGTGTTTTCCGAAGCAAATGCACCTATTGTTATCTTACCATCTCACGTTATCAACGGTTTGTGTAGATACTCAAATAAACAATATTTACAAGTGATGACACCGTTTCATGCATCGGAGTTATTAGCGAAGAACTCATCGTTGCTCCTGCGTTTATCATTCCAACAAAAAGTGTCTCTCTTGAAATACATCATTTTGAATGATCCTGATCCGAGTTTAGTATTGGAATTAGAATTGTTGCCATTAGCGAATCATACGTTCGCAACATTTCAAACAAAACAAGCGATTACAGTGTATGTCATGGATCGAAATCTGAATTTCTTGAAACTATTTCACAAGGAACAACATGATCGGTTTCTGAATCCGATGATCGATCAAGATTTATTCGACAAATTATCATCGAAGAATTTTCAAGGTAAGACAGACATGTATATTGTTTTGTTTTGATTCGCACTTGATCAGTGTTTGTCTTTCTCGTCTGTTGCTTTTATTTTACTTTCATCGTTTCGAATTAAGTGGTAAATCTGTGAAGAGTGAAAACGAGCAGAAGAAAGAAATTGTTAGTAAAGAAAGATTTTTGTTGTTTTTGTTATATAGTAGTTACCTTCTATTTCTAAGCACATTTTTCTTTTCTTTCTCACGTACTTGCTGAGTTTCAACAGAGTAAAGTTTTTTATTCAAACAACGGGCAGACCTAGTAAAGCGAAGCCAAAAGAAGCTATGTGCGCGAGAGAGGAAGGGAGTGAGAGAGAGAGAGAGAGAGAGAGAGAGAGAAAGAAAAAGAGCGGCAGAGAAAAGAAAAAGAAAATGTCTTTAACTGCAACAAACTGAATGTCGACGACGACCGCAAGTGGTACTATAAACCGACAGCGACAATAAGTGCGACTGCACGTGTGTTGTTTTTTCTTCTATTTGGTTTCAAAGAAGGTGAATATGTATCGACCAACAAATTATAATAATTCACCGGGAAATTATTCTGATCGTTATTCGAAAAACAGTCGAAGGGCGGAATCAACTTCACCAGCGTCTCATAATCGAGGTAATGAATAGTGAGTAAAAATATTCGTGCGATAACGAAAAAAAAACAACGAAGAAATAGTCATCAAAGTCAGATCGAATAAATATATGTGTTTATGTTTGTTTTCTTTATTATATTTATCTTCATATGTGGATATAAGTAGAAATGTTCAAGGTGAACGAGAAGTTGTTCGAATAGTAAGATAAAGAAAAGTAATGCTGGCATTTTGTATGCGTGTGTGTGTTATTAGTTAACCTTAAGTGATGATCAAGGCTTTCTCTCCTGTACGTATGTTCTGCACATGTCGTAAGATGATCAAAGAACATCGGTATCGACTTGATTGTAAATGACTAAGCAACAATTAGATTGCCTGTGATTTATCAGTCCAAGCAGATTTGGAATGGGCAGATCGAGGTCGTTTTACATCTAATGCATACACATGTTAGAAGAGTTGAGGTTCAACATCTTTGAGCGCAAGGTCAATTGAAACCATACTCAATTGATCATTATCATTATCTGTAGATTTCGAAACGAAACAAATCTAACGTAAGAGTCTTTGTCAACACAAGGTGAAGTGAGTTTTGTGCATGTTTATTGTATCTCTTCCATGGTCAATGGTTTAATTATCAATGCGCATATTTTCATATCGATACGATGTGTAGAAGATCGGCTTGCTGTATTTAACTATATATCTAAGGCTACAAATGAGTGTCGTTAATCTTTTCAAGTTCTCTCTTCTTGCTTGTCGCATAATGAAGACAACGAAGCAGAAAAAGTGATTGCATTCTTACAGCTCTCTTTTCAAGTGAATTGTTTCAAAGTAAATAAACTATTCATGAAATATGATGACGCGATACAGATTAATAATAACCGTCTGATACAATCAACCGCTCACAAGCGATTACTTATTTATTCTGACACATAACAACATACATTTAAGCTCTATCTCTAGTGTGTTTCCTATGATTATTTTTTCTCTGCCTTTCCTCTCTCTCTCTCTCCCTCTCTCTATTCTCCTCTTTCTGTCTCTATCCGTCATCTAGCCACAGCTCAACAATTGCAGTTCGAAATTCTACTCGACCGTTGTTGGTTGACGGCTACAGTAAGCACTTGAACTCATATGCATGGATGCTTCCTTTCTTCGATTTTTTCCACGTTAAATACATACATATACTTATATTTATATGTGTACATTTCATAAGATGACGATGAGTGTTATTCTAACGAATACTTGGCAGAGTTGATCTGTCAATATCGACTAGTGACATAGTAAAACAACGAAGAAAAGGCGAATTTTCTTCAAGGATTTACTACGATTATCATCTTCAATAGGAAGACTAAACGAAACAAAACAATCGCATCAAAGAAGAAGGAAATTGAACTGAAATCGATTAAATACCGATAAATCGATCTTCTTCTTCTTCTTCTTCTTCTTTGGATGGGTAATATGAATTGTGCAAGAAGTTCACGTTTATCGAAAAGATCCGAAACGACTTCTTTCAACGATCAGCCTTTGTCGTCGAAGCGCGTACATCGCTACAAAGAACAATCATCTATTCCATCCTCACCTTCGAATTCAATCTCGAAAGGTAATATATTCCTTATTTGCTAACACCATCGCTTATTGACATCAAGCTGTATAAGTGATTTTCAAGAGTTCTCCTTGTTCTCCTTTATGTGTATATACATATATTCCTTCACACTTGAATTTATATATCCGAATTGAACATGTCTATGGCATTTATTGAACATGAGAGAAAATACCAGTACTTATCGATCGATATTTTCAATGTTAAATAACGAATGAAAGCTTAGAATAGTTGCGTATAATTAACCGTTCGGCAAACAAATCTGTAAGAGATTACGTTCGTTGTAAGGTTTCAGTTTCGATGTATGGGATATCAGTTGAAACAATTGTAAGCATCGTAGTAATAAATCTAAATTTCGAGTACATTGTTGTACGGAATGAGATATCGTATCGTAAGAATAGGAGAAAAGAAAAAAAGTCAGAAAGCAAGGCAGTGATTTTGAAAGGATTTCGTGAGCAGTTAAGTTTAGAATTATATATGTGTGTTCAAAAGGTCTAATATGATGAAGGTCGTTTGGCCGATGTTCTTCGACAGGAGGAATACAGGCAAGAATTTGAATATGTGATGAAAAAAAGAAAACGAGAGAAGAGGAAAAAATGGACTAATCGAAGAACAGAGATGCGTATTATTGATTGTATATAGAACATAAGAAAAAATCCTTCGATCAGGTCTATATAATCTGGAATCATTTGGACAAGCTCACTTTCTTCCTCTTCGACGTTGTTTCGAATGGCATCAATCAATCATAGTACTAGCTCGTCGAAAAAACGTCATGTATCTTTCAATCACTTTCTTGCGTCGAAGAATCTCTCGATCTTTCGCTGTAAATCTCCGAATATTGATAATCCAAATCCAGTTGTATCATCGTCGTTGCCGGTCTGTCCAGAAAACGATGGGTTGAAAGAACATTTACCACAACCTCTTTCACTCGATCTTCAACTTTTCAAAGATATCCTGATAGACAATGATGAACCATCAGCATCGAATGATCATGGTACACGATCTAAGTATTTCTTGAAAATATTCATACGCTTTAGGTTTTTTTGTCGTAGAGTGTTTAGAGAAGATGAGAATGTCGAACTTTCGTTACGTTGAGAATATGTCGCGAACTTTTGTCCTTCAAGACAAGAAAAAGAGACCGATATTTCCGATAAGGAAACATAGTACTATGAACAAGTCGTGTTGATATTCAGAGAAAATTGTAGTTGGGTCGACCTTTCACATTATCTTTACAGATATTAGAGAAAAAAACAGTTTACATGTACTCATTACTCTGTATGGTAATGATCAGGAAAATGTTCCTTCATGTCAATTGAAAACCTATTAAAAAAATAAACTTATCTCAAGGTAATCAATAGACATATCGAAACAAATTTGTCTCGTTCCTTTCCCTACTCGAGTATAGGTAGTGAAATCGAACGAGAAAAAATTGACGAAATTTCCTCGAAGGTCGCTGGTTATTGCGAAGGAACAAACATTATACGACGTATTTCCTTTTGTTTCAATTGACACACATCTACGTCGATATCTTGTCAATAGATTAGAATAACATGTGTATAGGATTGTATGATCTTGTTCCTTTGGAAGTGATTGATCTAGTTGTATCAGTTTTATTATTAGTTCATTTCTGTTCAATCAAGTCTCTCTCAAACGACACGTGTGTATGTTAATGATTACGTAAAAAAATATCGAACACAATCATTTTGATAACAACTTCATTATGTGATGACATTACATAGCTGCATTCTACCGGTGCACCCTGCTACCATGAATAGAATAGAAAGCGAGTAAGAGAGACAGAAAAAGAGAGAGAAATGAGAATCAGTGATGGTATTACTCTTCTGCTTGGTAATATATTGTGTATATTACCGTTCTCTTTTGCTGTTCTTTCTTGATTTTTTACCTTGCTGCTCTTTCTTCTCACCCTCCACACCGATCGTGCTTGAATACGTTCTCTTTCTCTCCTTTCTCTCTCTCTTTTTTCCTACGAATATACGTACAGGTTTTTTATGATGACGTCCCTGTACATACGCCACCACTCTCTTACTATCACTCTTCTTCTTCATCACACGTTCGCCGTACGAAAAGAAGAATAGAGTGAAGATTGAGGATGATGATTACGATTATCGTCTAGCCTGAAATAAAAAACTACATCATATACATACATACATACATACATATACATATATATCCGTGGTATACGTTCAATTGAGGATACTATGGACGCAAGACATAGTTTTTCGGCAACTAAACCAACAGCTGATGAACAGAAACCGCATACTGTCAAGAATCATAATGAGACTAATGTACAAAATCATCGAAATCCATCGACACCGACGACGGCCACGCGTTATTTTCACCGTGCTCCTCTGATATTTCCTCAACATCATCAACAACGTCTTCGTACACCATCTCCAAGATTTTCTTCGTCGTACTTGGGTCCGTTAAATCAACATCGTTCTCGATTCTTATCCGCTTGGGATCTTACTCCAAGACCAAGTGCACACGCCTCAACACGTAATACATCAGTCATGACTCCAACGCCAACATTATTATCTGAACAATATGATCGTGAAATGCCTTCTCCCCGAGCACCGATGCAGAATTCCGCTGCTCATTCGTACGATGAAAATTCATATTCTCTCCAATCAATGGTTCCTAATATATCACGCAATTCTTTAACACCTAATTCCACGCCTATTCTAGCTTCGAAAGCCAATGAAATGAATTCGCGTTCTCCACGAGTAAATATGCCTCATAATTCATCACGAAATGCATCTGGAATACCTTCAACGCCGAAATCAATACCGAAACAACAGTCTGATGAAACATCACGTTCGAATCGACCGTCGATGCATAAATCAACTCGCAATACAATTACATCTCTTCCAGCACCTCCATCACCATCAAAGCAACAAGATGAAAGTTCACGCGCGTCAAGACCATCTATACACAATTCACTACGTCATTCTCAACCAACTACTCCAATACCTACAGTAGTGCCGCAACAATACGTTGAGGGTTCGTGTATCTTGAACAGTTGCGCTTTTCTTTAATTAGATATATCTGCACGTATGAAAATTGTGTAATCGACTTTTCATTCCTTCCGTTAGACATATCGCGTTCAGAGATATGTACATACTTCAGAAATTCTTAGACTTACTAATCAGTTGAAGAAAACAATGAAGATTTTTATCTTTCTTCGCCGGCATCTACATTTCAGTTGTTTTATAAGGTTGAAAATAGAAAATGTTTCAAGTAAATGTCGGTTAGAAGAAGAGAGTGCAAAACCTGTCATTTATCCTTGGTAGAAGTGACAACAAAAAAATTCATCGTTCACATTCGAAAAGAGTTATACATCAACAAAAAAACTTTTTTGTCAGCTTCTTTCTTAATCAACAGACCATAATGAAACAGAGTGCACTCGCAGCGTAATACGTATGGCATAATGTCTCTCTCTCTCTTTTGGTTAGATTTCTTTTCTTTTTCTTTCTATTTTAAAGAAGACCTTGTTCTTGAAAAAGAATAAACAAAAACCAAAAATCTCATCATCACCAAAGCCAAAACACTTTCTCTTCACTTGCGTACACATATCATCGGCAATCCTTAAGCGCTTTATATATTTTCTTTTACGATTGTCATTACACGAGAGAGCTAGTGACAACGTGATGATCGAATCTCGAACCGCAAAACCACATATGTTTATATATACGTATAAATATAAGTGTCTGATTGCTTTCTCTTTCTGTCTTTCGACGCGAACGAGCGAATGCATGAGTAGACTGCTCATTGTTAAGAAGGACATTCAAGTATGTATATGTGTGAGACGATTCACATCCAGATAAAGACGTTTAGTTTCTTCAGAAGAAAACACGGTAGAGAAATTCCATTTGTCAGATCAGAAGTTCGTTGATTTTTCTTCTTTTTCTCGTTCGTTGAAATTGTTAATGAATTGAAAAGAAGATTGCTTGGAATTCATTATTTCTTTTCTGCTCTTTTGTATAAGAAAGAGAAACGATCGAATTTCTAACAGTAATGAAAACGGACACTATTCAATCTTGACCTCTTATTGACAATTCTTTTATACACAGCTGTTACTATCACAATCTCGTTGCCATTCGCACGTTGTTAAAAGTATAAAGACCTAGACAGACATAGAAGTTGTTCCTTTTTTTTCTCTCTTCTTCTTCTTCTTCGTCTTTCGTACACAATAAAAGTGTAGACAAAGACAGACGATTGGGATTAATCAATCAATCAATCAATAGATCGACAAAAGCAAAGTCCTTCTCGTCTTTCTTATTGACATTTACTAATAAACTGAGTATGACGATGAATTTATTTACTTCGAAGCTTTTCAGAATTTGAAATCAACTCGGTATCAGCTGGAGAATGTTCTTTCTTTGTCTTTATTAGATCGCACACAATTACAAACAATGCCAGCCAAAGATTTCGCCGATTTAGTTATGCTACCACGAGAATGGCGTCGTGGTGATGACTGTATCCAGTGGCCACGCACTCACGACTATTACAACATTCCATGGCTCGAAAATCTTTGGAAATATATCAATGAAAAGCTTCCCAACGACTTAACACTCCTGGAAAATACCAACATACTCTATTTGCAACCAAGTTCACGACCGTTAGGTTCAGCATCGAGTAATAACACCATATCGTTATACAAACTATCGAAGAACATCGGTCTTATTCAGCTGCCGACTGTGCCGAGTAAAGATGATTTAGCTATACAAAAAGTGCTTTTGAAACTGAACTTTCATTGTGTTGAACCCTTTCCCGAAATCATTCGTCGGCATAAACTAATCGAAGAGTATGTTCCTCAACTCTCATGCTTAGGTTTATTGCAAATTCTCAAATGTCGTCTAAGACATTTTACTCAATTGAAGATTCAACATGAATTCAATACACTATTAAATGAACATGATATGAAATTACTTCGACAATATCTATCACGTATTATGACACAACAATTAGATGATTCAAACATTCAATGTATTAAACAACTGCCCATTTTTGATAATGCCTATGTCATTCATGAAAGTAATAACCATACACAAGCCCAAAACCAACAACAATATTATAAATACATTAGTTTGAATAATATTTTATACATTTATGAATCTGGGACGAAATTACCTATTGATTTACAACCACCGAAACAGTGTATTCATGTAACGGATAGTGATTCGCGTATTCTATTAGATAAATTAGGCTATGTCATACATGATTTTACACATGTGGCGAGATATTTAATCACAGCAATCGGCCACCAGCAACAATCGAATATTCAACAGCAACAGAATGCAACGAATATCAATCTAAAAAATGATCAACATAAAATGTTATTCCTAGGAAAGTGGTTACTATCGAACTGTTCGAATTTGATCTTGAGCGATGCTATGAGTCAAGATACCTTATCATCGTGTCGGTTATTTCTCAATCGAAAAGGGGAACTATGTTCGTGTCAACAAATGTTCGATCCGTCATCATTTCACGTGAATAATAAAGAAAAATATTTAAGTTTATTCGAATTAAAATATCTTCCCGCAATCGAACTATGCAGTGTACATGAATCGTTAACACTGTTGAAACATTTGAAATTACGCCAGTTTTACGATGTCAAATGTGATGAATTGATCGATATATGCGAAGGGACAATGAAAGAATCATCATCATCAACAGCTGGCAAACGTTCATTGATGTTGCTACTAGCTGAATTTATCATCGATATTCTACATCAGAATTCGAAATTAATCGAAGAATATTCGCAATCGAAACGGCTCAGTCTGAAACAATATTTGAACATCACAGCTTGGATGCCAGTTATGATTGAAAGACCACATGGTTATCCATCGTCATTAACATGGCAAGGTAAGTGTCATATTGGAGTTCTCTGAATTCACCTTGATGTTCCCTATCGATCGAAATAATTTGTCAATTAAGGCAGAGGTCAGTGACATTCATTAGTTCAGTTGACAACGAACTTTTTTGATAAGTGGAACGATCAACAATGTCATCGATTGTTGTAAACAATCTAATTAATACGTATCTTCTAGGCTCGATCGATACTCGTCGGTCATTCGTTAATCCACGTGAAATTTGTGACAAGACAAATGCGTATCTCGTTGGCGGTGTAGCTCTGGTTTCATCGCTTGATCTTCCAGAATCGTTTTATCATACAACACGTTCATCGAATCGAACAGCACTTGACCTACGTGAAGTTAAACTTGACCTATTGATCAAACAATTGAAATGCTTAGTTCTGTGTTATCAAAAAAGTTCAGTTCATGAACAAAAAAACGAAACATTCGATTATCTGAATCTATGCAAACGTCTCTATGACACATTGACACATTTCACCAATATGAGTGATATACACAACGAAATGCGCAAGTGTAATCTAACTGAATGGATATGGAATGGCACGAATGGATTTTCATCAACGAATCAGATTTATCTTGTCGACAAAACACATCCATTAGCATCATATATACAAATTCTTCCATATGAATTATACAACTATCGAAAATTCTTCGAATCCATGGGAGTGAAAAGTCAACCGGAATCGTCGAAAATCGAAGATTTATTACGAAATCATCCTCAACAACCGATTGACGAGAATCTCTTTCGATGGATTAAAGAAACTTACACAACTGATCGTCGTCTATTACAATTGATCAACGACTTTGAATTGAAATCTCACGCAAAGGGTAATACCAACCATCATCACCATCATCATCACCAACCACAAGCAAATAACAATAATAATTCAAAAAGTAAAAATCTTCACGACGAACAAACGCGTATTACTTTCTCGAGCACACTTGATTTGTCCGATGACAAGGTCTATCTTTATTTACCAGGTAAGATTTCAAGGATAGTTTATTAAGACGGGTGCATCCTCTTCTTTTTCTCTCATAGATATATTCAATAAGCAAACGAATATCAAAGAAACAGTAGTTCAAGCATTATCAACCATATCGAAAGAGAAGAAGACTCAATTATTAACTGAAGAAGATTTCTTCATTCGGAAAATGTCCGGTAGCGAATACCAGAAGAATCTCTACGATCACTATCGAGCATACAATGATTTACTTCTGCCCAATCTGAATGTTCTACCGAAGAATGTCAAGGATACACTGGTTCTATTCGCATTGGACAATGCGGATAACACAATGTTGAATATCCTCAAGCAACATTGTTGTATTCCATGTACACCAAATGGCCGAACATTGAACAAACCATCAAAATTAATTCATCCTTATTGCCGTCTAGCATCGCTCTACTCCGATATTGATTCGTTATTTCCATACGGTGGCCAAGATTCATATTTAAGAGAAGATCGACTCAATGTTTTAAAACTACTCGGTAAGAGGATGACTGTAGCATATGTGATATTTCCCAATGGAAAGAATGTTGATGAAACAAATCATTTGACTCATATTTGAGTTATGAGAGATTGGAGAAAATATTAGATTAGATATCTTTCATACCTGTTTTCTGTCAAATAATCAGTCGATTTCGATCGTAAGCAGTATCTCCTGAAAAATCAAATGTAAGTTACTGAATATTTCTCCTTCCGCGAAAATAAATATCTTCAAGGACATTGATATACTTTTAATTACAACGATCTATCTTGCGAAAATAATTTTCCTTCGCTCTCGATTTTCTCTCTGCCTTTTAAATAGGTATGAAATGTGATGACAACCTTGTAACATGGCCCGAATTAGTCGAACGCTGCGAATCAATTCAACGTATGCGTGATTATGATCTTGCCTATGAACGTTCAGTCGCACTTCTTCAAATTCTCAATGATATGTTAACGATGTCGAATTCCAATCCGACGAGAACCTTCGACGAGAACGATGACTCGTCCGATCGTCGTTCTCGACAATCGTCGTCGTCGAATTCACGAGAGAAATCAACAACGAACTCTTCGTCGTCGATTTCAAACACACATGAAGCACTACATGATAAAGAAGCGCGCACACGCGCATCGATTCAACTTCGCGAATTAGCATTCATTCCAATTAAACTTCGTCCACAGGAGTTAAATGGAATCAATTTAACATGGATGGGTGACAAATATTCGAAACGTTTGTTCAAACCACGCGATGTACTCTCACCCCAATACGAACAACTCGTTTGTTCAACATGGCCCATAGCCGAACAATCGAAAGTGAATCAAGAACAAATTATCATAACTAAACAAGTCGAACATTTTCTTGCACTTGATGACGCAACGAAAATCGAATTGAATAACATCCTCAAACAACTCGACGAAATCTCGAAGTTATCAATTGTAAATAGTTCCGGAACAGTAACGTACAATCATCAAACAACGTCGAAGTACATACTCGACATGAGCTATGCGATTTATGATTACATTCAAGCCTTCTGCTTTCCACATTTACAAAAATCGAATGAATTAGAATTTCGTTCGTCAGCTATGGGTCCGGAGCAAATTGAAACCGTCAAAAACGAAATCCGACAATTCTTCTCGCAGCATCGACTAGTTTACTTCACCGATACCTCATCGGTCGATACATATTTGTTTCTTTCTCTCTCTCAACTATTATGGCAATCACCGAATCCATCATCGAGTAAACATTCTAAACATTTAAAGCCTTACTACTATTCAATACCTGTTTCGTTGCAAAAGACTTATCGACATTTCTTCATTGACTTACTACAAATAAAAAATCAACTGGATGGAAATGATCTTTTGAATATCATCGATCAAATCCGCAAGAAGTACGGTACGAAGCCGATCGATAAAGACGATTTGAGTTTATTGCAAAACATTTATACGCTATTGATCGAACAATACTCGAATGTTTTTCATACGAATATTCAATTATATTTGCCAAATGTTGACTGTGTGCTTCATTTGGGCTCGAATTTATTTTTTTATCCGTTCGAAAGAGAACAAATTGGTAAGTGGAAGAATGCTCCTGTGCGTGTATGTTTTTCTCTTCTTTTCGTTTTCTTCGTCCTATCCACCTCTCATAAATAAGGTAATTCATCCGTAACATTCTATATTCTTTCATCTTTCTTCGATTTGATGCATAATCATCGACATGGTCAATTAAATATAAATGTAAATATATACATATTTCATGTTGATGATGATGATCATCATCATCTTCTTTACGGTATGTTTTATGAGCTTTCGAATGAGTACACAATATATGCAAACATACTCAGCAGTAGTTTGCGTTATTATAACTGTAGCCTTGTCGTTCTCCTGATCATTGCTTACTTTCTGATTGTATTTGAAAGTAAGAGTACATTTCTTCTCTCGATTCTGTCCGTCATCTTATCGCGTCTGTGAAGCCATCGACACAATTGCCGTTGGTTGTTGTGGTTGCAGTCTAGTTCGCTGTGCATAACTCTTTATCAAGCAGAAGAAGAAGAAAAAAAACGAAAGAAGCACAGTTAGTGTGTGTGTGTGTGTGTATGTATATGTCTTATTGTTCTCATATGCAATGTCATCGACACCGCGAAAATGCAATGATCAGACAATTTACTTCAAACTTCCACGCACAATAAATTGTAAAGAAGAAAGGAGAAGTTTTTCTTTCATTTTTCTCTCTGTTCTACCAAATACTATCGCGGTTTTCTCCTCCTGTTCTTCTTTTATTCTCTCTTTTATTATGTTTATCTCTCTATCAAATTTCTCCAGTTGTATTTTTTTTATCTTCTATTTTCATTTTACCTGTCTGAGTATTCCTTTTCTTCTCATATATTTATTTTCTTTCGTAGTGTCAACTACTTCTCCAGCCGCACAGAACGAACATTACGTGCATCCATCTGTTGATCGACGTGTTTGTCTCAAGGCCGGTGTTAAAGTACAGAAAAATCCCATTGCTACCGCAACAGTATCGTCGGCAGCTCTACCAAACACGCCAATGACGAACACTTCATCTCCGACGAACAATAATTCGTCGCGCTTATTCCCGAGAATCTTCGGGAATAAGAAACTGGAATCGATTCTTGCACGACTCGACGATCCACACATCAATCCACAATTAGTGGAAACAATGGACGAATCCAATCCGAACATCGTCTTGGAATTTCTTCTCGAATCTAATAAACATACTCAAATAACGAATAACTTATCGGATGATGATATTATCATAATATTAAAATATTTCAATGATTTTTTAACAAGTGGTTTTCAAGGTAATTTTCAAAAATTACGTGAATTGAAAATTTACAAGCCACTTTGGGGCATTGCATCCACGGATGACAAACAACAGCCGATTCAGCAATGTTGTTCATTGGAAAACTTTGCACACGTGTACATCCTGAACGAGGAATGGTCGAATATAATTCGGCGTTCGTTCAAACGAAATTTCTTCACCGAACAGTTCCATGAGAAGAAAACCGTTTTACTAATGCAGAAAAAAATCGATCCGTTGAGTAAAATCTTCACACATATACGATTCATTATTCCGTCGGATATGGAGATCTTTTCTCAATTGTGTTTGCCGCATTTCAGAAAACTAGATGTTCGATCACAAGCGAATCTACTGAAATATTTTACCGATGATATCGATGAAAAGTTATTTCAACATGAGAAAGATCAATGTCGAAAGCAACTGCACGATCACTTGGAAATCTTTACACAATCATCAAGCAATCATTATCATCATGAGCATTTACACAGAACAATGGGAAGTTCAAGATCATCGGTAAGAATTTCGCTAGCGAAGCTTCGACATCATGCATGAGATTTCTTCTCTTTTCTAGCGTGATCCACCGGAAATCTGTCCGATCTTTGAATTGTATGATCCACATATTAAAAATATCCGCTCAATACTTGATGTTCATCATTTTCCCGATGAACAGTTTCACACGCCAACAATGCTCAAGTTTCTCAAAGAATGCGGCCTTCGTTCGTATATTCCAACCGATAAATGTAAACAAATCATGGAATCAATTCAATTGAATGTTAAACAAGAAGGTTGGACAAATGAATTGCGTAAACGTTCGAAATATCTCTACGAACACTTACTCGCTAACTGGACACGTTACGATAATTCCATCCTTGATTATAAATTTCTCGAGCCCCATCAAATGCATTTCGAAAGTGATGATCTCATGCAATTGCACGAACAATACACAAATTCTTCAGATAATATCAATCCTGCCGAACATTTTCGACATACGTGTATTAAACTAAGCGATGGTGAATTGCTGAAAGATGCGAGATTATGTTGGACATCGTCGTATTTATTGCCAGAATTCGTTCGTCTTGAACAGTATGATGATTTCAGTGAAAAACAACAACCCATCGAACAGAATGCACTAGACTTCTTCAAATTAAACAAAAAACCATCGTACGCTTTGGTACAAAAGAATCTTTCTAATCTTGCCAAGAAATTCTCCCTTAAATACCAGAAAATCAAGTTAGTTTTCGATTTCCGCACGGTATTCCTCATATCGTCTCTCTCTCTCTTCTAGTAATAATCCAAAATCATCTCCAACAGTCATCCCCCAACAAGGTACTGACGATATTCTGATATCAGTATTGAAGACCATTTATCATTATTTCCAACACGAGATCAAACACGAACGTCGCGCCGAGATTTACAAAGAATTAGAAGATCGAGAATGCATCTATTCTCGTACACGTCGACAATTTCTTCACGGCAAATATTTTTGCTTGAATCTACCCATCGCCGATGAAATTCCTCCATTTCTGTTCTCACTCGATCAAGATTTTCATGAGTATAAAGAATTCTTTCTACATATCGGTGTTCAAGCTGATCCTCATCCGATGTTATACGGCGATATTCTTCGCAAATTGTCCAAAGTCTGTGACCAAGACTATCTGAACTCCAATGAATTATGCAAATCGTTGAAAGCAATGGAATGTTTCTTTAAATACTTAGCTATTAATTCAACGATTAATTCGCAAACAAAACTACCTGGTAAGATCGATTTGCTTTTTCTATAGATTTCGACTATTGAAAAAGACTCTCCTCAATGAATAAATCACCTGCTGAGATCGAGTACTTCTTTTCGCAAAGTTTCAGTTATCGAGACATAATTACTCGGAATGTTTCGCGCATGCTTTATTCTATATACTCCCTTTCTTTTTTTTTCAATTGATGAAGTCATACAGATCGTTTTGGGGCTTCGATCGAAAATAATTCAAAGGCTAAATGTCTATCGACGCTTTTTCTTGCTTCCTAGGTCTTTACCTTGTAACGAATGATTTTAAATTAGTCAAATCTAATGATATTGTCATCATGGATGACAAGAGCAAACTTGATTATATGACGAAATTAGTTCATGATAAATTCATGTTTAATCCAAATGAACGCGTGCTAAAACTTGATTCGAGTCCATCGACAACGAATACGAAAACGAATTCATCTATAACACATGTGAAAGATATCATTGATAAGATCTTTGTAAGCCAACGTCCGGTACTTTTCTCGCAGAAGTATGAAGAATCATTTTCGATTACGATTCCCGAAGATGAAGAATCTCATCGACAGCGTTTTCTTTTCAATTTGGAAAGAAAGTACAACCAGTTGTTGTCCTCTCGACATTTGCATCGTTGTATGGCACGTGTGATTGCGAATCACGTCGCTCGACAACAAAATCCAAAGATTATCTCCATGGATGATGTGGAAAATCTCATTCGACAACGTTTAACATTTGTGAAAGTCACTTGTGTCGAGTACCTCGAAACAAACTTGGTTTACAAGAAAACTCAACAGAAAGTCGATCAATCTGTGGATGAAAAAGCTGTTTATTTGGTTGCCGAAGGTGAAGAGAACATTAATTTATACATTAGTATGAAACACACTGAACAGCCTTATTTTACCTTATGTCTGGCACGAGCATTGAGTCCGTGCTTAGGCTTATCCGAATTACAACTAGATAATTCAGTCGTGGCTGCTTTACTGGCCACAACCATTGGACAAATGTCGAAGTTTTTAAATTTAGTTAATGTAGCCACCGAAGAAAATATCTTATCAACGCTCAAATTACAATACATCCCATCGCCGGGCAATGTGTATGGTGATGATATCGAACAATTGCAACAATTCAATGTGGAATTGCATCAAATTTTACCTGGAGATCTGTGTGTTTACCGTGATAATGATTTGTATATTTATTGTGAAGTAGAGAAGATTATTAAAGAATATCCGCATCAAGCAACGAATGATCAGGAAAATCGCTCATGGAAGAAGAGTAATTCATCATCAATCATAGCATCCTATGTGTTTATTTGTCGAGTGAATGATGCAAAAGATACTCAACGAATCGAAGCAGCAAACTTTTATGTTCTCGAACATTGGTCACGAATCTTCGATGCTGTGCATACGAAACCTGTGGATGAAAGAGAAACATTCAAATCGACAGCATCGAGTTCATCAAGTAATACCCAAGGTAAGATTGAACAGCTCGATCTCGACGAATTGTCTGATGTATGTTCTTTTTAGGAAAAACTAACGGCGAAAAGGATAAACATAACAACGAGAAGTACTCGTCATCGTCGCGACGATCAGAACGAAATAATTTCGAAGGTACTGGCTTTAGCAGCGATTCTGGTTCGACCAATGGATTCGATAATACGAAAACGCATCGACAGACATCTGCTGACAGTGATTCATCGAGTAACCCAACAACGGATTCTCAATCGGACTCGGAATCAGCCCAAACCAATGAGCAAGATACGATCGATAAGACTGAACTAGAGTTGACGAAGACAGAAATTTACAATGCTGTTCGACAAGCTTTCCAACTAACCGGACAAGAACGAAAGAAAACTGTGAAGAAATTATTATTGAAATGGCATCCCGATAAAAATCCCGGTCGTGAACGTTTTGCTGCCGAAGTATTCAAACATTTACGTAAACAAATAGATCACTTCGAAAACGATCCTCTCACATCATTCTTCAACACATTCAATAACTTTCATCATTCACCATTCTCTGCCTCGGATCCGAAATTCAGCTGGAACAAGCACAGTTCAACCTCAACGAAATCCAATCAACAATCGAATTCATCGTCAGCAACAGCAGATGATCGGTTCGGCAGTTTTGATAACTTGAATAAAGACGCGAATGATGAAACCAAACGTAGCTATCAAGACATACCCAATGGAAGTAACAATAAAGACCATGCAGATAGTCACGATGCCGATGGCGGTTCCAAGGGTCGATTCAGTCCACATCGCTCATCATCATTTCGAACAGCGCGTGAAGAATGGCAATATCGTCGTCAGCATGGCTTTCAACGACGCCATGGATTTTTCAGTACAGCAGAAGAAAACGTTGGACCAACGAACACCAATGGCACGAATTCTCAAGCAACCGGAGGAAGTAAGTGTTGATAATTTTCTCAATAGAAAATTCGTACATGAGAGTTCTGCTTTCATTTTTCGTAGAAGAAAGTCCAAATGCACGTCGAAAACGTAACTATCAACAATCAGAAGCCGATCGATGGCTTAAACAGGCACAACATGATCTGGAAAGTGCATACAGTGACATGCATTCATCGACTGGTCAAGTTGCCTATGACTGGGCTTGCTATAAATGCTACCGAGTAAGATTCATGTTTTGCACATGTGCCTCTTTGTTCACTGGTCAATGTATTTTAGGCGGCAGAAAAAGCATTGAAAGCTTATCACTATTATAAAGACACAGGAAAGAATATGACTGCAGATATTCCTGGATTATTAATCGGTGTTGACAATGATGTCAGAGAAATTGGATATAAATTATATAAATGGATTGGCGATCCAAATCGAATGCAATATCCCAATGCAGCACGATTTGCTAAAATTCCCGCTGAAGTGTTCACAGTTTGTAAGTAGAGCTCATTCTCGTCAAAGGTTTGAAATTACACACGTTTTTTTGTTTTTCAGCTCAAGCTGAGCAAGCCATTGAATATACGAAAGAACTATTGAAGAAAATCGAAGATATCATGTATCCATAAGGACATAATCGATCCGTCAGTCCTCCTTCCTCATCTCTAGTCAAATGTTCCTTTTCCTTTTTCTCTCTCTCGATTTCTTACAGTATGCGCTCGCATTCATCCTGTTGTGACGTATCATTTTTTATTTCTGTGGTTTTCTTTTCTCGCCGTTTTGCTTCTCCTTATTAACAATGAGAGATGGTCAAATCATCTCTGTTCTCCCCTTTTGTTATGCATTATTTTTTGCCGTTGCTCTTCGTTTTTATACAAACAGTTCTAGAATTAGCAACATGTTTTCTTAACACAATGAAATACAAGATGACGGGGGAAATTCATGTACAAAAAAAAGGTCAATTCATATTTCTCGTTTTCTTTTTTTCTACGATTTTGTTCTCTTGTCTTATTCTACTCTCTATACTTTCTCTCTCTCTCTCTAGTTAACGTATACTAGTGGTGTGCTCGATCGTGGTGTGTTAACCTTCTTCTATTTCAGTTGTTCGTTTCTTTTCATACATTGATCGAAGTGCAGAGAGAAGATGCATCTTTGTGTGTGTGTGTGTGTGTGATTAGAAAAACAAAATAATAAGAAGCTCCAATGGAATTTTTCTCTTTCTTCCATACGTCAGAGTGTCCGTGGTGATGTTGTTCAAGTCGAATAATAAAAATATTATAGGAAATCATCAACTGATGACGTTTTCAATCGAATAACTCTTCAAATGTATGAGATACCTTATTATTGCAAATAGATTCAAAGGAAAAGGTGAATGAATAGAGCGGATAAAAATAGTCGTGCATTAAGAAAAGCGATATGAATAATATGAATTTGAATAATAATCAGATAGAAAGAAGAAAAAAAAACAACAAGAAACTTTCATAATGTTTGCCTATTTCGAATATTGGATGAGATCATTCATTTGAACGCTGTACCCATCTGGTGAATCAACAATCGGATTGGTTTGTGCAATTTGTGGAAACCTATTGTAGAAGATAATTTTGACTACTTCGGGCCAGTTCAGCTTCTTGCCACGGCCTAATTGTTGATTGGAATTTTGATACAGATAGTTGGAGAGAACGTTTAACAGACGGTCGCGTTCTTTCAATTGATCCTGTGGTGTTATGAAGTTCTTGTCTTGAGTCATATTGAAGAGAATGTCATTGAACGATGGAGGAATATCTTGTAAACCGAAATGAAGGAATAGTGGACGAACTTGTGTTTGAATTTGTTGAACTTGTTGTTCAGGAGCTAAAAATGAGTGGTAAACTATGATTTAACAAAATAATTCTTTCTTACTCAATCCGGTTAAATTGATGGTCGCCGTCGCAGATGTTCCTGGTTTGCGTTCTAGATCAGCATAATTAATATGCTTTCTTCATTTAGTAACTCTACCGCTTACCTGTGACTGTGACATTGAAGTTCATGAAATGCGTTTGTACTTTGTGCTTGACATTGGCTACATATCTACCAGCGTGAGCGTATTGTGCATTTTTGATAATTAAACGATGTGTACCAGTTTCCGATGATTCACAAACAAAATGTTCACTCGCTTGTATTTGTTGACCATCTCTTGACCATGTCACTTGAGGTAATGGTGAACCTGGTGCATGGCATTCGAGTGTACATGAACCACCTTCACTCACACGTACTTCAACTGGTACGGATGATTCATCGGAAACGTCTGTACAAATCGGACAAAGTAAGTTTGGGTTTTTCTGATGGACTCAACTTACCTCGAACAGTAACTTTACTTATTAATTCAGTTATGCTCACAGCACTTTCTACAACAGCCTATAGGAAAAAAGAGAAAATGTAGAGAAAAACAATATGACATGTGGATGTTTCTTACTTTGTACATTCCTGCGTCAGTTACTTCGACATCAAGTAATTTCAAAATATGTTTCGGTCCTTCATCGATCATGATGATGCGATTTGGTTTGGCTTGCAGTGGTTTATCATCGTGGAACCATGTACATGCAGGTAAAGGTGAACCGTTGGCGGTAACTGTAATTGTTACTTCTTGTCCACGAGATACATCGAAGTCTTTCAGTTTCTGTTGAGTAACCGGTGGTGCTGAAAGAAAAAAATCAAAACAAGTTGATTCTCTTCAAGTATTTTCATATCAATCACTTACGAAGAACATCGATATTGATTTCAGCTGTGTGTGTACCGTATTGATTTTCAACTTTGCATTCGTACTTGCCTGAATGTTTAACCGTTGCTTGTGGAATAATAAATATTGAACGACCAGTCTTCTCGTCAACTTGAATATCAAAGCCATCCTTATTGGAAAGAACTTTGCCATCACGTAACCAAGTGATTTTCGGTGGTGGATGTCCTTTGACCATACATTCGATGGTTAATCGTTCGCCTGTTTTGATTTGTATGAATTTCGGTGGAGCTTGCGTGAAGATCGGCGCCTGTTGGCCAACAACTCGAATGACTCGTGTTCGAATAGAGCCGGCCGTACTGGTGATGATTGCTTGATATTCGCCAAGGTATCGTTCGTCAAAATGATGAAATACAATACGATAGATGCCATCTTCTGTAACAACCAATTCGTAGTCAGGTGAATTGTCAGATAATTCTTGTCCATTCAGTAGCCAAATAACCTTCGGTCGGGGTTTGCCTTGTGCACGAATTTCCAAGAAGAATTTTTCACCAATCTTCGCCGTATTCGCAGTTGGCGAATCATTCAAATCGGCTAATAACTGTGGTTTTTCTTCTTTAACATTTAGTACTGTCTTGATTTCTAAGACACCGCCCTTATTTTTGATTACCATCGAGTAAGTACCTTTATCGTTAGTGCGTAAATCATCGATCACTAGTTTATATGAATTGTATTCATTTGTAACGAGCCGTATGCGATTGTCGAACTGGATTTCTTTTGAGTCTTTATACCATGTCACGGTATTATTCTCTCCACTGAGACGTATCGGTATTTCAGCTTGATCACCAACGTTATAAGTCATATTTGGTTCGAGTTTCGATTCTAACTTCGGCTTCGTATGTACCGTTAATGTTGTACTTGTTTCAACCTTTTCTAGACCGTTATCAATAATTGCTGTGTATTTACCAGTGTCCACTGTGTCAGATTTCGGAATTGTCAATACAGTTTGATTTGGATTATCTTTGGATGTTTCGATCTTGTATTTAGGTGAAGGTTTGATTGGTTGACCATTGAACAGCCATGTCACTTTTGGTTGTGGAAGACCGTCAGCTTCAACAGTCAATATTGTCGGTTCACCCGCAACGGCGTCCGTTGTTTCAGGTAGCTTTGTCTTAACAACCAATGGTGCCGTGACTGTGACTTTAATAGGTTCAGTTTTTTGTTCACCTAATTTATTCTTGGCAATTAATGTATAAGTACCTTGATCATCTTGTCCAACATCGGTCGTAACTAATCGGCAAACTTTCGTCTTCTCATCGTATGTTATTTGCGTTTTCGGCGATGGTTTGACTTCTTTACCATCTTTCATAAAGACAATATCCGGTTTTGGTTTACCGTCGACAATATATTCAAGTACTAAAGTTTCATGTTGTTTCAAGTCGGTTTTATTCGGTTTCGATGATGGTTTAATAGAAACATCATCAACAGTTGTAACTTGAACATTGGCACTTGTTTTGCCGAGAGGATTCTCAATGTCGATACGATAGTTACCTTCATCGTCAGGTCGAACATTCTTTATCTTAATTTCATACGTTGTAGAATCAGTTGGACTCGGAACAAGTTCGTAATGGTCACCATTCAGTGGAATTTGTATCTCATTCTTATATAATTTAACTGTTGGTTTAGGTGCTGCTAAACATTTGAAGAGCATCGTTGCTGTTTGGTTAACATGTGCTTCACATGTCGGTTGTGGTTTTTGTAATAATTGCGGTGCCGTTTCAACTTGTAATTGAACAACTTCTTCAATCGGTTCGCCAACCGAATTTTCCAAACGTAACGTGATCGGACCAGCATGTTTAGGTGTTGCTTGATTAATTGTCAATACACTCTTGCCTGTTGCTGTATCGGTCTTGACTTCGAAACCGTCCTTCGGTGTTACTGGTTTACCATCACGTAACCAAGTCACTTTAGGTGCGGGATTTCCATCAAATTCACAATCGAATTGAGCTGGCTGACCTTCTTTCACAGTTACTAAGGCTTGTGGCTTCTTTTTCAATTCTGGTGCCTTTTGAACGAGTACTTTGATTTTCTTCGATTTAGCTTCACCGACATCATTGGTGACAATTGCCTGATATTCACCACTATCTTTTGGTTTAGCATTTTTGATTAATAACGTATATGTTTCTTCTTCTTCAACAATTTCGTAGCTTTCCTCAACAGTTTCGATAATCTCTTCGCCATTCTTATACCATTTGACTTTTGGCTTAGTACCAGCCGCTTTAATTGTCAATGGGACTGTTTCTCCGGCTTGCACGCTGATATCTTTGGCGAGGTCCGATTTGAGACTTGGTTTGATTTGTTGAACATTAAGGTTCAATTTCACATCTGCTGTACCAGCACTATTTGTTGCTTGACATGTATATGTCGCCTTATCGTCGAGTTGAGTACTGTCAATAATTAATGAACAGCCATCATCCTTGTCGATGGTCTTGATACGTTTATTGTCAATCGTCAATGGTTGGCCATTCTTCAGCCATTGAATTTGCGGTCTTGGTATGCCTGATAATTTAACGTTTAATTCAGCAGGTTCACCAACAGTGACTTGAATATCTTGTGGCTTTGTATCAATTTTCGGTTTCATGACAACATTCACGTTACATGCTGATGTAACTGTACCTTGTGGGTTCGTTGCCACAATCTTGAATTGCCCACCATCAGTTAAATCAACGCGATTGATGGTTAACGTCTGTGTGCCGTCAGGTTTCGATTCAATCTTTTGTTTTGTTGTTGATTTAATTTCAACATCGTTTTGAAACCATTTAATTGTTGGCTTAGGAATGCCTTGGCAACGACAGCTTAAAACCAAATTTTGTCCACTGATAACGTCCGTGTCTTCCAATTTGTCGACAAATGCTAGAGGAGCGGTAACAACAAGGTTCGTCTGTTCTTCGACTGTTTGAGCAGGATTCTTTGCCCGAATTGTGTACTTGCCTTGGTCTTCTTCTTTGACATCGGAGATAATCAAACGAACTTCATCTGTCTTTTCGTCATGTTCAATACGAAAGCGTGCTTTATCCTCTAATGTTGTGACATCTTTTTTGTCCTTCAAGAAAGTTATTTCTGGTTTAGGGTGACCAGATACTTTACATGGAATAACGACTTGTTGACCTTGCACACCTTCGATTTTAGCCGGTAGAGAGCCGATAACAGGTGCAACATGAACATTTAATTTAGCTTCACTTGTTATTTCACCTTCGCTATTTTTCATCAGAACTTTGTAGACACCTTCGTCAGTTGGTTTAGTTTGCTTAATTTTTAGTTCGTATACATTGCCTTCTTTGGGTGTAATTACTTGAAAACGTTGATCATTTGCTGGAATTGGTTTACCGTTAAAATACCATTCCGGTTTGGGTGCTGGATTGCCGGTAGCTTCGATCGACAAAGTAACATCTTGACCTTGCACAACGCTTTCGTCTTTTAATGGTTTACCTATCTTCGGTGTTGTACGAACATCGAGTTTAACGTCGTGTGTTACTTTACCAGCAGGATTTTCTACTTGACATGTAACAACTCCCGCATGCTTTGTCGCATCCACTTTTCGCAATATTAATGTTGTCTTTTGTGTCGGCGTATCGAATGCAATAGTGCAATCGGCATTGGGTGTCAATGGTTTACCATTCAATAGCCATGTCACTTTCGGTACAGGAAATCCGGAGAGTTGCGCTTCGTATGTAACATCTTTGCCTTCACCCACGGATGCGTCTTCAGGCGCTTTGACAAAGACGGGAACTTGCTGAACGGTGACTTTCGCTTTTTTCGTTTTGACAACACCAGCAGGATTTTCAATCGTAGCTTGGTATTCACCTTGATCATTGATCGTTGCCTTAGGAATGCGGAGAACAGCGGTGACAGTTGTATCACCTGGTTTTGTTGGCTGTTCGATTGTAACGGGACCAGCTTCATTTCCATCTTTGTAAAATTTCACCGTTGGTGTCGGCCGACCATCGAGAAGAAGACGGTAAACAAGTTCATCACCTACATTGATTGTTTGCGGTTCTAAATCATTCTTCAACGACGGCTTCACTTCTACAAAATAAACAGAATACTATGCTGGAAAAAGAGTACTCAAACACAAACCTTTAACAGTCAAATTGACCTTGGCATCCACGGATCCAGCTTTATTAGTTGCACGTGCTGTGTATGGTTGAGAATCTTGTGTTGTTGTATCATTGATAACCAATGTCGACTGTCCATTTTCATCGTTTATTATTTGAATACGTGAATCAGGTTTCACTTCGGTACCATCAGCTTTATGCCAAGTTATGACCGGTTTCGGTATAGCAGAAAACTTGACATTCAATTTAGCTGTTTCAGTCAACAAGCACGAGACATCAGCAGGTTTACCTTCAACTTTTGGTTTAGCTGAAACAAAAAATATTGGCAATGTCTCGAAAAAACATTGATGAATACATACTGCAAACGTCGACATTCGATTTTGTCTCAATTCTTTCCTTTCCATTATCGGCGACGACTTTGTAGACACCAATATCAGGCATATCCGCTTTGTTAATAGTCAATGTACTAAGAGGACCTTTCGTATCAACACGAGTCTTCTGGTTCGGTTTGATTTCCGTATCATTGAAGTACCTTGATGAGAAAATCGAGTTCTTTACGCAAATGACATTAAATCTCAATGAACATACCAAGTTAATTTCGGTCTGGGTACACCTTCGCATTCAACAGTTAAAACGCCATTCGAACCTTGAATGATATCTAAATCACTCAATTGGTTGTTGAACTTCAATGCTGCAGTCACGTTGACATTAGCTGTCGAATCGACTTTGCCAACTTTGTTTTTCACTGACAATGTATATGCACCCATATCTTCTTCTTTCACATTCGGAACAGTTAGAATACACTCGTCACCAATGCGTTCAATTTTAACACGATCAGATGGTGTCAATGGTTTTTGATCTTTCAACCATTGAATATCGACTTTTGGTCGACCATGAACGTTGGCTTTAAGAACCAACGGTTGATTCAATGTCACTTCTTTATCCGTTAATTGTGGTTCGATTCGTGGTGTTTCTGTAGTAGACAAAAATATATGAAAATAGAGGAAAAACAGGTATCCATTTGGACATACCTAATACTTTCAATTGGACGGTTGTCGCCGTTTCACCAAGTGGGTTTTTCACTTTGATATCCACGGGCGCTTCGTCTTCAGGCGTGACATCGTGAATGATTAATTTCGATGTTGTTGGAGATTCTTCAATAATTTCATACTTCTTCGATGGCTTTACTGGTTTACCACCATGAGTCCTTTGATTAATTGGAAACGAAAAGCATTCTACAGTGCATTAATCCAGTATTCAACTTACCATTCGATTTCTGGTTTTGGCGCTCCGGAAACATCCACAGTGAAGACTGCATCAGTATGTAATAAAGCTTCGGTATCTGTTGGTTTCTTGGTAATCTTTGGTGCCGCTGAAATATATTCGAATGTATAGAACAATACAATCTCAGACGAACTCTGTTTACTTACTCTTAACTGAACATGGCACAGTCTCTTCGATTGCTCCAGCTGGATTTTCAGCTTTTACCGTAATCTTTCCATCATGTTTCGGCGTAGCTTGTTTAATTGTCAATACTGATAAACCAGTCGCTTGATCAGTTTGCACATCAAAGCCGTCCTTAGGCGTAATCGGTTTTCCGTCAAATAACCAGGTGATTTTCGGTACTGGATAGGCATCAATCTTCGTACGAAATTCAGCTGGCTGGTTTTCGTTCACATCGACTGGTTTTGGTTTTTCGAGAAATTCTGGTGATTTGGTCACCGTTAATTTGCCTTTTTTCGATTTGATAGTTCCACCGGAATTAGAGATGACTGCTGAATAATCACCTTGATGTTCTGGTTTACATTTATTGATTTTCAAAATGTATGTATTGGACGGAGTATCGTGTATGATTTCATAATCTTTATTCGTCGGAAGAATCTCTTCGGTATCATTCTTGAACCAATGAATATTCGGTTGAGGATTTCCAGTTGCTTTAATACTGAATTCAGCTGGTTGGTCGCGAGTAGCACTAACATTGCTTAGATCAGATAAAATTTGCGGTTTGATTTCCTTGACATTTAAGTTTATCTTTGAATCGATTTCGCCGACTCTATTTGTCGCACGGGCAATATACGCTGAGTTGTCAGTGAGGTCCGTCTTTTTGAGTTTTAAGATACTTGTACCATCAGGCAATTCACTAATTTCGATATTTTCATTCGGCTTCAATGGAGTGTTCATGTCGCTTGCTTTAAACCTGAAATTGAAATACAAAAGAATGAAATACCAAAAGAATGAATATCAACAAACCAAGTCACTGTTGGTTTTGGTATGGCACTAAATTTCGTACGTAATTCCGCTGGTTCGGTGATTTGCACAGTCACATCGTTGACTTTACCTTCCACTTTTGGTTTAGCTGGAAGAAAACATTGGAAGGATAATAATGTATATGTAAAAAGTAAGAAAACTTACTGCAAACAGACACATGTGCTTTTGTTTCAACGGTACCGTCTGGATTCGTAGCGACACATTTGTAGACGCCTTCGTCAGTTAAGTCAGCTTTGGGTAATGTTAATGTATGGGTGTTTTGTTTCGAATCGATCTTAGTCTTTGGAGTATTTTTCAGTTCTTGATCATTAAAATACCTATGAAAATATAGATATAGAGAAAGGAAAAGGTTAAATGAGAGTCTTTTACCATTTCACCGTTGGTTTTGGTATACCGTTCGTCTCGACAGTTAATGTGCATGGTGATTGTGACAAAACATCTTGATCCTTCAATGGCTGGACAAACTCCAGCGGCGCTTTGACGGTTATTGTTGAACTAATTTCTTTTTGTCCAACTTTATTCTTGATCAATAATGTGTATTTATCCTGATTATCAGTTTCATCCAGTGATTTAATAGATAATTCACATGTGCCATCAGGCAGTGCGGTGACTTTATGTCGATCATCGGGTTTAAATTCTTTACCATTTTTCAACCATGTTACGGTAGCTTTTGGTCGTCCACCGATGACTTTACATTTAAGAGTAACATCAGAGCCAACAGGTTGTGTAATATCACCAAATGGTTGGTCGACAAGTGGCTGTTCAAGAACAGTTAATTGCGCCGTAGACTCCACATGACCGAGAGGATTATCAGCTGACACACGATATTTTCCTTCGTCTGTTGCTTTAGCCTTTTTAATAATCAGAGTCTGTGTCGTACCAGTCGATTCAATAATATGATCGGCATCGGGTTTGATTGGTTGATCATCTTTAGTCCAAGTTATTTTCGGTGTTGGAGAACCATTTACATCGACAACAAAACGGATTTCATTGTCAATCATAACTTCTTGATCAGTTAATTTCTTCGTCATCACTGGGACAGCTAAAAGAAATGAAAGGTTCATACGGTGTTGTTCATCTCTCATCCGACTTACTTTGAACATCAAGTGTGACCGGTGCATCGGTTGTGCCAGCAGAATTTTCCACTCGACAAATAAGTTCACCTGCTTGTTTAGGAGTTGCGCCTTTGTGTTTCAATGTGATTTGACCAGTTTTAGCATCGTACTGACTCTCAAAGCCAAGATCGGATGTTAAAGGTTTGCCATCTTTGAGCCTAAGGATAATGATATCTTATGAGAATGCTTCTCATCCAAAAAACTATCTTACCATGTCACTTTCGGTTGTGGATAAGCATCAATTTGTGCATCGAATACAACATTTTGTCCTTCTTTTACTGTTTGTGATTGCGGCAGTTTGACGAATTCTGGTTTCTTCTGAACAATGACTTTCGCTTTTTTCGACTTGACTGTTCCACCAGGATTCGTTGCTTGTACAGAATACTCCGCCTGATGATCCGGAGAACAATTTTGCACAGTTAATGTGTATGTTTGTTTGTTGTCATATGTGATTTGATAATCTTTATTCGTTGCTGGATTGATTTCCTCATTACCTTTGTACCATTTGACTTGCGGTTGAGGTAAACCAGTAATTTCTACTTGAAGTTGTAATGGTTTGCCTTTTTCAACAATTTGTTGTTCCTCTAGATCACGAACAATCGTCGGTTTGATTGAATTAACAGTTAGATTCATTTTTGCTTCAACTTCACCAAAACGATTTTTAGCTTTACAAGTATAAGTGGCTTTATCATCCATTTGCGAGCGAGCAATTTTCAACGAATGAACGTTTGGCTTGTCTTCATGAATGGTTACGCGTTGATCAGAGGTCACCGGGACATTATCCTTGTACCAAGTGACTTCTGGTTTGGGAAAACCAGAAAATGTACATTCGAGAACTGCGGGTTGTTCAACATTAACTGTGATATCAGCGGGTTTGCCTTCAACTTTTGGTTTACCTAAACACAACGAATTGATCAAATAACGTAGGAAGACGTTGACCGTGAGACATACTTCCGACAATTAAAGTACATGAGGTTTCAACTGTTTTACCGGTACCATTATCAGCGACAGCTTTGTAAACACCTTTGAAAGAAGAGCATATGATGATGTTTCGAAAGAAAAAGGAAAGTTACCAGCATCAGTTTGATCAGTACGATTGATTGTTAATGAATGAACGTTTTGTTTCGATGATATCGCTTGTTTCTGTGTGGATTTTAATTCGATATCATTGAAAAACCTATAAGAGAATCCAATCAGCAAACTTCTGTTTCATTCTTTCATGTCTTACCATTTGACATTGGCCTTCGGTATACCCTGAACTTCACACGTTAACACTGCATTTTGTGTGGTGAGCACATCTGTATCTTGTAGTGGTTGAATGAATTTCAATGGTGCTGTAACTTTCAAGTGACCATCTGTTTGATTTGTTCCGACTTTATTCTTCGCTACGCATGAATATAAACCTTGATCTTCTTCATGGATATCTTTTATGATCAATTTCGCATTCCCATCTTTGTCAACAGGTACAGCTGAATATTTCTTGTCGTCCGGTTTGATTTCTTTGCCTGCCTTCAACCAAGTTAACGTGGGTTGTGGCGTACCTGTAACTTTAACAACTAATTCAACTGTTTCCTTTTCAATGACGGTTTTATCTTGTAGACCAGAAATGAAATCAGGCCCATTGATAACATTCAGTTTCGCCTCGGTTTGAATTTGCCCAAGATCGTTCGATGCTTGTGCACTATATGTTCCATTGTCATTTAAACTTGTACTCTTTACAATAAGTTTATGTTGATTAGTTTTTGTGTCGTATGAAATATCGTATTTATCTGGTGATGGTGTTATTGGTTTACCGTTGACAAACCATTTAACAGTTGCTTGTGGTGATGCTTGAAATTCGCATGTAAATGTCGCTGAATTATTAACGACAACCTCGGTATCTGTTAATGGTTTGAGAAGAAGAGGTGCCGAACGAACGTTAATATCAGCAGTTTCTTCAGCGGAGCCAGCAGTATTCTCAGCTCGAACAGTGATCGGGCCAGCATGCTTTGTGGTGACATTTTTTATTGATAATGTTGCGGTACCTGTCTTGGTATCGAATGTTGTCTCATAACCTTCTTTTGGTGAAACTGGTTTACCACCGACTAACCATGTGACTTTTGCTTGTGGTAGTGCATCGATTTGACATTCGATTTTTCCCGTTTCAGTTTGATTGACAGTAATTGATTGCGGTTTTTTGACAAATGTTGGCTGTTTTTGTATGGTAATTTTACTCTTCTTCGATTTGATCAAGCCAGCAGCGTTGGTTAATTGTGCCTGATATTCTCCCATGTCTTCTTGGGTGGCATTTTTAATAATAAGAAAGTATTCATTCGTTTTCTTATCCTCTTTGAATTCGAAGCGTTGATCAGTTGTCGAAGTGATTTCCGTATTATTTTTAAACCATTGACATGTTGGATATGGATTTCCAGTGCCAGCTATGGATAGAATCAAATCTTCTCCTTTTATGCCTGTGTAAGTTGAATCAAGATCACGTGTAATACTTGGTTTGATCGCTATCATGAAGAAACAAAAGTTAAGAAATGCAGTGGCTTACTTAAGAATAACTTACGTTTGACAGTCAAATTCGCTTTTCCTTCGACTTCACCAGCGATATTTGTTAATTTGACTGAGTAAACACCTTTGTCGTTCATGCTGGTGTTGTTTATTGTTAAGACAGATAATGTTGCGGTCTCTTGTGTAACAACAAACTGCTGATCGTCAGCTGGAATTGGTTTACCATCTTTGTACCAGCTGATGGTTGGTGTTGGATTACCAGAATATTGACATTGTAGACGAGCGGTCTCGCCGATATTAACCGATACATCACCGAGTTTATCTACTTTTGGTTTCGTACAAACCGTCACTTTAGCAGCGGCTTGAACTTTGTCAACAGCATTTTCAGCAACAACTGTGTATTGACCGTCATCGGCTGCTTCACCTTTGAGAATTGTCAGTGTATAGATACCATCTTTTTTGGCATCGACTTGATGTTTCGTCGCTGTTGGTTTGATTGGTTGACCCTTGAATAGCCATGTAACTTGCGGTTTAGGAGCACCAGTGATTTCAGCAGTAAGAATGACAGATTGACCGACAAGAAGCACAGAATCTATCGGCGGTCTAACGATTTGCGGTGGACCTATGCATCAATATCTGTAGAAAAAACAGGCAATAAGAAAACAGTTCGATTTTACCTAAAACTTCGACGTGTCCTTCAGTTTGTGCATCTTGATATTTAGCTGTATAAACACCTTTGTCTTTATCTTCTGTTTTGGGTATAACTAATCGATGAACCAATCCGTCGATTTCTTCTTGAATATCCGTTATTGGTTTTCCATCTTTAAACCATTGTAACGCAATGTTCGGCTTATTAACTGCACATTGCAACTCGCATTTATCACCTCGTTTGATTTTCAAATTCTTTAGTTTGTCTGTAAAGTCGAATGGTTCTTCCTTAACAAACAGTTGGCCATTGGTTTTCGTTGCTTCATCAATTGCACAAGTTATTTTCGAATCATTTTCACTCAGCAGACAATCTTTCAAAACAAGACGACGTGTTTTACCGATGGCTAACGTTTGAGCGCGTTGATTAGGTACGGGTTGATCATTGATATACCATGTGACGGGCGCTTCAGCTTCGGAGATATTACATTCGAATGCTGCATTTTTGCCTTCATGTACAGTGATATTTGAAAGTGGCTTAGTGAATGTGACAAGACCAAGACGTGATGTACGGCGGTCCTTACCAGCGCCTGACTTCGGTACACCTAATCCACGTCCATCGTCGCCATCTAAATCGTTAGCACCACCTGTGCCAGAACGTGCACGACGTCCAGCATAGTCGGTTGGTGATAAACCCAATAAATCCCCACTTTGACCTTTATCATATGTTTTCAATTGTGCGTCGCCGGTTAATTCGAAATGCTTCAACTGGTATTGCCAACCTGGATTGCCAGGACCTTTCGGTTTACCTTTGGCTTTTCGTAGTTGACCCCAATCGGGACCAGGTTCACGTTCACGTTCAATCGCTTCCATCTTTCGTAAAATACTCTTGTAATCAATAACTTCTTCAGGTTTTGTGACGATAAAGCATGACACAGGCTTTGTGATCGTCTTATGAGCATTTTGTATAGTAACTGTATAAGTACCTGTATCAGCATTTGAACATTGATTGATTTCAAAAAAGTGTGCATCAAGTTCTTCATCATAGTAAAGGGCGTATTTTGATGTGTTTTCTGTAAAAGTTTTCGCTTTTCCTTTCGACCACACGACAAGTGGATATGGATCACCAGCGACTCGACAACCGAATACTGCGGTTTGTCCTTCCAAGCACGAGACTTTCTCAGGCGTGTCAACGAACGATGCTGCTTCGCCTGAGACAGTTATTTTACATTGAGATACTTTTTCACCGCCCGGATTTTTGGCTCGACATTCATATACACCTGAATCACTTTCTTGGCAATCTTGTATGGTCAATGACCATGTCGCTGACGGTGCATCGTATACAATTGATATACGATCATTTTCATCGAACACTTGACCATCTTTCAGCCACGTGAGACGTGGAAATGGTAAACCACTGACTTTCAAATCGACTTTCAAGATTCCTCCAACAGGAAAGAGAGAATCCGTTAAACTCTTGGTAAAATTCGGTGGTGCCAAGGCTGAAACGAAGAAGAGAAAATGAAAATCAATGTGTCTTACTAATTGGTAAGGGGACATACGAAATAAAGTTAATTTTCCGACACTTGATGCTTGTCCAAGTGAATTTGTGGCTGTACACGAATATGAACCTGCATCCGACGTTTGGGCATTTGCAATTGTAAATACATACCAGCCTGATTTTAATTCTTTTAATGAATATCTAAAATGATAATTGGTAGACGTTCTTACAAGATACGAGAAGGAAATGCGGCTACATACCGGCCTTTCAAATCAATAGGCTTTTGATTGAATGCGAAATCTAATTTAGGTTTTGGATAACCAGCAACTTGTAAACGAATGTCAATATCACAATTTTCCACACCTTCCAGTTTTTCTAATTTTTGTAAGAAGACAGGCGCGACTTCAATCACAACCGTTGCCGACGTTTTCGTTGTTCCAAGTGAATTCTGTGCTGAACACACATAGAATCCTCCATCATCCAATTGAATATTCTTGATGCTCAATGAATACGTTCCCCGACGTTCTTCAGCATTAATTCTTCCAGGATAAAGACTAAAATCAATCGGTATAGCATCCTTGGACCAGACAATTTTTGGCTCGGGGTACGCATGTATTTGCGTTTCCAAGCGAGCCGTACGTTTAATTGGAATAAACAAATCTTTTAGTGGCTGAATAATAACCGGAGGTGACGAGATTCGCACGTTGATTTTACCAGTAATACGGCCAAGATTATTAGAACAAATAATTTGATATTCGCCCGCATCTTCCGATGTAGCATGACGAATCCGTAATTGATGATTTGTACCATCTGATGAAACTTGATATTTATCATTTGTCGTCAAGTCTTCTGCTAAATGAGACCATTTAACATTCGGTGGTGGTAAACCAGCTATTTCAACATTAATTTTACAATCTTGTCCATCAACAACAGTGACAGTTTCAGGAAGTTTTACAAATGATGGAGCAACTTCGATGATGACCTGAGCATCGGATACACTTGTCTCATTGCCAAGCGTTGCTTTAACACTGTAATAACCAGCATCGGCGGGAGTCGCTTTTTGAATAGTTAAGACATGAACTTTATTGCCTTTGACAGATGGGACAATACGATCGGATTTAACAATAGGTTGATTATCTTTCATCCTAGATTTAAAATTTTTATTATGCACGACTAAATGAAATTGTAATTCTTACCAAACGATAGTTGGTACACCGTTTTTAATATTTACTTCGCAATCAAGCGTCAATGGGCGTCCTTGAGTTACTGATGTATCACGAAGCTGTCGCTCGAATAATGTTATTAAACCTAGACGAAATTCGATAGATAATTCAAGAAGATCCATATGTTTTCATGCAACAAAATACCTGCAACATTAAGATCAATTTCTGTGGAAACTTTTCCTGCGCTATTGCTTGCTGTAATCACATAAGTTCCCATGACTTCTGCACCTGCTTTCTTAATCGCTAAGTAGTACATATCGTTTTCATTTGTCAATTGATGTACATCGTTCGAAGATAGAACCATGCCTTTTCGTGTCCACGTAACCGTCGGTGTTGGTGCACCGGATATTTTAACAAATAGTTGAGCACTTTCACCTGCATTGATTTCGGTTGATTTCGATTTATCGAGTATTTTCGGCGCACGTTGTTCACCGATGATTTGTAATTGAACTTCACGTGAAATTTCCGAAAGAGCATTTTTAACTACACATTTAATTGTACCACTATCATGATCTGTAATATTACTGATTCGAAGAATCGTCAGACCACGTTCCTCTCCAACTGAAATTTTCCCACCAGAATGTAGAGCTTGTCCATTGAGAAACCATTGAACCTAAATAGGTCCGTATCGTGTTTTATTCAAACTAAATGACCACCAAAGCACTTACTTCTGGTTTTGGACTTCCAGCAACTCGACAAATAAACTCTGCTGTAGTTCCTTTGACAGCTTGCGCTGTTTTCGGTTCAACAGTAAATGACGGTGGTACACCTTTCATTTCCAATTGGCCTTGCGATTTAACATCTCCAAGGCTATTCTTCAATATTAATTCATAATTTCCGCTGTTTTCTTGGCTGAATTGTTTGATATTAAGCACATGTGTATTGCTATCATTAGCACGATCGACTTTAGTGAAAACATTGCCATCGGCTGATTTCGTACTTGAAATTGGTTGACCATCTTTTGTCCATTGTTGTGCAGTATCATATTTCGATTTACAAGTCAATGCACAAGGTGAACCAAGATCGACTTGAACTTTTGAAAGACCTTGAATGATAGTTGGTTTTTGTGTAACTTGCTGTTGCGCTTGTTCTAGATTTGGCGCTGTTACACTCGATCGTCGTCGTTGAACAGGTGGCGTGGGTACTGCTAATTCCGCTTCTTCAAATGCTGCTCGTCGTTGATCGATTGAATGTGCTGATTTCTTTACATGGCACGTACTGATTGTATGACCAAATGTATTCTGTGCTTGAGCTTTATAAACACCTAGTTTCTTATGTTTACCAGCAATTATCAACTCATGACGATATGTGTGAGGATTCAACGATTCGACTTTTCTATCATAGCCATCACCCACAATCACTTTTCGATCATTAAATAACCAGATCAGTTCTGGTAATGGATTACCAGTAATAATACATTCTAGGCTACAAGGAAGAATTTTTGAGTGATAGCATAGTTGAGGAGAAATGTATCTTACGTAAGTGGATCATCTTCATTGATATACAATTCACTTTCGAGTGGTTGAGGAAATGTCGGTTTGCCTTCAGGTATTGTGAGCGTACTTGACCGACGTCTTGGAGTAGTTGTTGACGTTTCATTTGACATGGTTTCTCCTTCAGTTGTAGTACCACCACTGGCACCAGAGAATGAGACTCGTTGTTGACTAAAATAGATTCGGAAAAAAATAAGTTTATTTGTGCTCTTTCATCAAACGAAAAGGACATTATTTTGTTTCATATCTCAATACTACTGATTAGAACTCATATAACAGCGATCGATCATAAAATGATATACACGACGATTCCTTCCGTGCCGATGATCTTATCCAATACAGAAATGACGATTTCTGTACATATGCTAACGTTATTTTCGCCATAAATCTGCTCATATAAGGTTACTATCGATTCATCTTCGTTGATTACCTCCCTCGTCGTGGAGATTGCATCCTTGCTGTTCTTCGTCTTCCAATGAAAGAAGGAAAACTTTAATATGTATTAGCTGCTATCGTTTTCTGTTGATTCATCAGTTTGGCTGTATGTAAATATCAGAAATTATTCTTTTCTGTGGGTGTAAAGTAACTTCTCTAAAAGCTAGACGAAACAGATAACATCATAGTAACTGACAATAACAAAAAAAGAAAGAAGTGTACTGTTGTCTCCACCTCCTACTTCGTGCTTGCTTTAATTTCTTGTTTTCCTAAACAAATCTAACGTCCTTTCAGTACTGTCACCCATCTGCAATCGATTTGTCTCATCCTCTTTCCTCTCTATCCCTTTTTCGTGGTACTGTCCATATGAATGTATACAATACATTCTTAGTTAGATTACATATATACAAAGGGCTTTTTCTCGTTCTACTTAGCGTTTGACAATACGCGATGTTCTACTATTTTCTTTTGCTGACACTTAAAATAGGATTAATGACGGCATGCGTTCTCTCCCAATCTTATAAACTCAGTTGCCCCTCTGTTGTTCTCGCACAATTACCACATCAAACAGTTGCTAAAGAATAGGAAAATCAGAAAGAGTAAAGCTTAGTTAATTAGAATATCTCATGTATGCGTACGCTTGTATGTTAATGAATTAGAAAAGAAGCGAACGAAAAAACTGATAAACAAAAATAGAACTAGATGATTATTAATTGAAGTTGCTTTTACCACCCACCAGGCATAAGTCAGATTTGTTCGAGAAGTTTTACTCAGTACCTTTCTGGAAACAAAAATATCTATATTTTCTTTGTTTTTCATATTGACTCATGGGTAGATAGATAGATAGATATATCATAGACAGATATACACGTTTGTTTGTTTATCATCACATCATACCATCATTTGGAGCATTACTGACTTCACCCACACGATGATACATGTTTGACAAGGTCACTCTCAGAGACAATATGTATAACAATTGAAGTTTTGTTGTGCGTATAATAACACTACCCAAATTATTCAAAGAAGATTAATGAATATATAACGACCTTGAAGCTCTTTCACTATATATTATATGCATAAATATATATATAGAGAGAGAGAGAGAGAAAAACAGCAAGTAGTACTTGTGAGACCGATAAAGTCTACTTATGCGGTACAGTTAAAACTCATGAAGAATTTAACCGATAGCAGAGATACAGGCGAATGTACTACTAACGAGAAAATCTAGCTAGCAGCATGATACCAAGGTTCTATCTATCGCAACATATCAATAAACTATTTAACAATTCTACTTATTTTCACTGATCCGAATAATAATATTCTGAATAACTCGGGCACATACTCATTTGCTGTTTGTACCGAAGTCTTGTTAGCGATTTGTTTCTTCGTAGGTGTATGTAATTGTACTGCGAAGCTTGCTAAAAAATGATAGGAGGGTCAAATATGTATATACAAAACTTATCTGCGCTGTTTTACACACCTCGTTTAACATTAACTTGTGTTGTACTGATGACTTCACCTAAGTCGTTGTTGAGAACAGCTTTGAATTTACCATCATAATCAGATGTCATCTTTTGAATTGTTAATGTGGAACAGAACATTTGATCGTTATGTGATTGACTAATGTTTATTTGAGATGAAGGAAGAAGAATAGTTGATTTATAATACCAGGTTATCTAAACAAAAAATACAGATAATGTTATATAAACTGGTCACTCATCGGCAGAGGAAAGTATAATATACGTGAGGCTCTGGTTGACCAATGTAGCTAACATTCAGTTGAAGTTGATCATCATGATTTATAGTGATGGATGGCTTGAGACGTTGTGTGAACTTCGGAGCAACTGATTTTTGTTCGATCGGAACTACTGGAGTAGGTTTTACTTCGTCATGATTGCCATTGGTTAGCGATTTAGACTCTGGAGTTGACGACACATTCGAATTCACGGACAACACTTTTTCGATGACCACAGGTTCTTGTTTCTTTTTGCCAGACACTGTTTGCATATCTGCAACTATGGGTTCAGACGATATCTTCTGGCCAGTTAAAGTATCAGTATGTCCGTTGAAACTGGCCTGTTTTGCTGACATTGATTTCTCAGCTGAAGTGCAGGATGTGTTGGTTGCTTTTTGAGTGGCAAACTTTAGCTTTTTGTCCATACGTTCCTGTTGTTGAGTTACAATGGTAGTTTCTTGTTTTACATTTGTCGATTTCTCTACGGGAACATCATCGTTCTGGATATTCAAGGATGATGAAGACAAGACTGAATCCACTTCATTGCTGGCTGTCGATGTGCCATTTGTTGGTGGTAAAATTACTTCAATTTCATGAGTATCGTTCTGTACCTGCTCGTTAGCTGCATTATGTTGTAGTTTTTCTGCTTCAGCAAGAGTAATGGATGGTTTTTCTAAAACTGTGATTGATCTCACATCAGTTTTAATAATCGTGTTTGGTGTATCCGACTCAGCAACAAAAAAGTGCTCGGTGTCATTTGAGACAGATAGTTCAGTTGTTTGTAAAGTTGATGTTGATGGTATGATTTCTACAGTACCTTCAATATGGATGACTGTGGTCGGCTCCAATGAAGCAGATATGATGTCTTGAACAATCTTCTCACGCGCATGAACATCATCGGTATCTTTTGTTTGATCTGGCACAGTTGCAAGTGGCAAAAGATTTGTTTCCGTAGGTACAGCCAATGATTCTTGTGAATGTTCTGGCATTTTATCGCCAATGATTGTTAAGGTAATAATCGGCATCTGTTCATTTGTTGTTGCATCTAAATAATTCAATTCGTGTCAAATCACCGTCAGCAGCGTTGTTTACCTGTTTCTATAGTAACTGGATCTGTAGAACTTGTCGAGGTGTTTGACACCGAAAAATGGGCGATCGGCGTATTTTCAAATGTACAATTGATGAACGACGTGTTCTCAGTCGATGAAACTATCTGATCAAAAATTTGATGTGATAGGACTTCTACTGATTCTTCAATCGGAGACATGACCGAACCCAACGGTGTATCTTCATCAACATCCGAAGCGATGGTTTCTGGCAAATGAATCGTTGTCAATGGCGCTTCTGTAGAAATAGTCGCCATATCGCTCACTTCTAATGATTTCTGATCGATAATAGCTTCTGTTACTTGGAATAGTCCATCTTCAACGTGAATTGTTTCGACTGCCTGTTCGATACAATGTGATGTATCCGTAGGCAGGACTTGTTCGATTCTTTCTATTGTTATCGTTTGTTCGTCAGCTATCGAAGTCGGTTGAACAACAACTTCAATATGTCGTTGTAAACGATCATTTGAAATTGACTGATCATTGTTAGCGAACATACGACGGGACATACTTGGTGAATGAAAACTATAATTAAGATAATGTTCATCGACATAATCATTCGCATTCGAAAGATAATTTGAAGTTTGGGAAAATCGTGACGAAGATCGTAGTTCGAGAATATCATTATCCATGATAATGTCGGACCACTGTTCGACGTTGTTGAGTGCTTCATCAAGTGAGTTTGGCGAAGAAGATATAACAGATGTTTGTTCAACACCATTTCCATTGTGATCTGAAATTTCAATTGAGTGCTGCTGCCGCTGCTGGATGGAAGTGCTGGCAGACATTTCTGGAATTGGAAGAATCTGTGGAATGTCCTCATAAATGTGTTCTTCTGAATTATGCTCGATCGGAGGTGGAGGTGGAAGTCGGAATTTCTTTGTAACCGATTTGGTATGATCCTAGAGCCAGAGATAACAAACAAGGATAAGTACAATGTTTGTATGCTTCTTCTAACTTACATTTTTCATTCGCTGATCATTCATTGCCAATCGTGTCAATGAATCGTCATTTTCGAATTGTTCAATTGGTTCTACATGTTCAAATTTCGACGATGGATCAAAATATGCAATATGCCGTTGACCATACAAATCTTTGCCAATCGACAGATCGAACGATTCGTACAGTTTCTGTTCCAGTGGTGGTTGAACATCTCCCGTTGACACAATCATATCTTCGTCCGTCGGTGTTGCTGTTGACATCGATGATGACGATTTATCATTGAAAGAATGCATTTTTACTTCTTCATATTCCGATGATTCACTTGATGACGAATCATGTCCAGCTGGTAAATGTTTACTCGATGCTCTATTCGAATGATATACGGCTATTTCTTTAGTTTTATTTGACATATCATCTTGTATCTCATTGTAATCTGCAATATGAAAAACATGGTGTTTGAAAGCACGCGCGCACATTATTAGATTCTCCTTACGTGCATTGTGATTGTCTTTTTCATCTGAGTCGACAGTAACGATCGTTTGGGTCATAGCACGACCATACAGATTTTCGACAAAGAATGTATATAAACCTTGTAATCGCGAAGTAATCGATTCGATAATTAATATCGATGAACAATCAGCATTAACGATTAATCCGCCTTCGACAGGCTTCGCTTGTTGGTCATACGAATGTTGTACTTGCCAAGTCGATTGACATTCCGAGGTGGGGGAAATATACTCAACAAGAAAATGCAGTTGTTCACCCGGATGATATTGGTACGAAGGTTGAAGTAAGCGTGTTATAGTCGGTGGCACAAATCGATCAAGAGTCTTAACTGATGTTGATGATGATGCACCAATAGGCACTAAACTTGTTTCTACTGTCGGTGTCAATAGCTCTTCGTTTTCATCAGGACAATCTAAAATTTGTCAGAATTGATCGATCGAGTGGAATGCAAAGCATCTAACTTACTATCAACAAAGAGATATGCACTCGATTCGTCATGCAATCTTTCGTCATCATAACTGATATAAATCGTATAAACTTTTTCGTCCCGTCGTTGACAGTGTTGGATATCCATCCAGTAGCGATTATCTTCGATCGAACAACCAAATTGATATTTAAAAGTGTTCTTCATTCCGATTGATATGTCATTTAAACGCCATTCGACTTTTAACAATGTGAGATCGATTGGTTTGCATGTTGAGATGGAAACTAAGCGTATCTTGGCTTCGAATCTGGCTGATTCACCATGCAGAACTGTTAATGATTTTAATTCTTGTTCAAAGCCAATTTGAATGGTGTCATTTCGTTTGTATTCATCTTGATCATCCGTATGAGTCAAATTCGATAGAAAATCCTTGTCAATAGTCATGATTATTAAAAAAAACTCGAAAAACTAACAATGCATATTTGTTCGTGCTGAAATAAAAAGATGATAATATTCTCTGACTAGCAAGAAAACGAAGTGTTGTGATGATTGTTGTTCAACAGCTGTATAAGATGATATAATCCAAAGAAAGGGGAGAGAAACAAAACGAGATATCAACAATATCTTCAAGAATGATAGGTTACTAACACATAAGAGATACTTTTCTTCTTTCTTTCCCCATAATTGTTCATCTTGAGTACGCTCCGAGTTATTCCAAACATAGAAAATCAGAAGGAAAGAATGACCGATACATTATATGTATGTCGAGAAAGATGAGAAGAAAAAAGCATCATTAATGGTCTGAACGTCTTCGACTGATGATAGACATTGATGTCAACATCAATGATAGAAGACTAGTGATAAGAAATTTCGATTTCTCGAACGAACAGATCCATTCGAAATCAATTATGCACATGATTAATAAACGACCAGATCAACAGTGGAATTTACATAGATAATTGCTCCTTAACATTAAAATAATAAATAACAGCAGATCGATATGATTAGATTTCTATAGCATATCATCGAATTATATAATACTGTTTGATAGAATTCATGTTACTTTTCCAATTTGAGGCTCAGTATTGAGTAGAGATCAAATGTAGGTCAACTTACGAGAGGTGACATTTTTGGTTTTCGATCCTGAATGTGACAAGTTGACTTTGCTTATGTTTCTTACATGAGAAAGCCTTTCAATGGACATTTGACTTCGATGTCGATATTCATGAGTCAATTTCTAAATTAGCTGTCAAATATAAAATATGCTTGGAAGGAAAATCTGTGTTTGCTTCTCCTCGCTTTTTCTCGTTAGGAAAGACCATTTGATTGTTATTGTTATTCTTTCTTGCTGGGTTCTAATAATATGTGAACTGTGTGGATAAGATATAGAAGAAAATATCCGTCTACCGATCGTTATTTTCTAACGAGAAACAAAACATCAGATGATCGTTTCATTGTTTTAACAAGCAGTCAATCGAATGAAGAGAAAAGTCATGTCAAAAATGTCGGTGAGCATCGGGTATGACATGGAACACATCGACAGATGTTTATCTGTGAATTGACAAAAAAATATATATATGTCTATTTTCGTAGAAAAATAAGATATGATGTATAGAAAAATAAAGCATTGTGGTTGATCGTGTTGTTCATCGAGGAAACCGACGAATCTCATGTTGGACAACTCGTCATTAGTTTCTTAGCACCTAGGAGAAAATGTACTTGTTTTCAACGAAACAAAATGATACAATCTTCTTACCACCGGGCATGACTCGACCAGCCATATTTAATATGGGAATTTTCTTCCAAACTTTGTCTCCTAAATGATTGCACGGATGAAAATTTCGAGAAAAAAAGCCAAAGAGATTTTCACTAACGATCGTCAGTAGTTAATTTAACTTCCAAAGTTTCCACCACGTTGTCGCGGCTTGTCGCTTCACAGTGGTATGAGCCAGAATCACAATCGAGTACTGAACGGATGCAGAGCATGCAGTGTCCGGTCGCTGGATCATATCGATGCCAAATGCGTACACCTCGTACATCGACCGGTTCACCATTAGCGTACCAAGCAATCGATTTGATGCGCTGACAACGAACGTAACATTCAAGAAGAACATTGTCACCTGCTCGACATTTGTAACTTTCGGAAAGACGAGTGAGAAACAGTCTTTCAGGAATATTATTAACTTTCTGCATTGCTATCGTCGTCGCGAGAAGAAAGTAAACGAGAAAACAATGTCCGATCGATCAATTGATTGAATGATTGATTGATTAGTCTTGAAATCTAGACATAGAGAAAGAGAAAGATGAGAAAGCAAAAGGAAATCAACGATGAGCAAAGAATGTTCCCCGAAAGCGACAATAATAATAATAACAACAACAACAAATGGCATCAAAATGTCATCCACAAGGAAGGTCACACATCGTGCGAGCCTTTTCGTCAAGTAATAATTACTTGTTTCCTTCCATAATTACGTCCATTTGTAAAATGATTATTAAGCTAACAAGTATCTAAGAGTGAAAAACATCATAGAATGAACCGTACGCATCCATATGCTATCGATATATATCCTCATTCTTCTATCGATACATAATTAAATATAAATGTAACAACGTCCTTGGAATTGGTGTGTAAGATCTCGTATTTTCTTCCCTTCCCTTCTCTCCCTCTCTCGCTCTCGGTTCGTTTTTTATCCTTTTCTTACGGGGACAAACAAAGTACAGTATCTATTTTTTCTATTCCCATTCGACTGACATCTCGACTGTTCTTCCCATCGAGCGCTAACCAGCAGGATATTTGTCGTTTATAGATGCATTTCTTCGAAAATAGACTGATTACACACGGGTGATATAGACACATCAAAGCCTGCCTGATAATATTACCAATGACGCCACTCTTTCATCATTGTTTGATTTAGAATATCATCTCAGTTGCAAGTTTATTTGTTTGTTAAAAAGTACAAATAAAGTCTGAAGTAGATCAACAAACAAAGGTATCATTGGATTTGAATTGACCTTCATTCGATCCGAAATCTAATCGGACCAGTCTGAACTTCTTGACTTTCGTCTTTCGGAGAAAGTTTCAATCGTATCTGATTGTACCACAGTCAAAAACTGATCGATGTTATCTTCCAGTAAATGACTGTTCTTTTCAACACTTCGTGTAGCCAACAATTTGATTAGGTCAACGATACTACAGTTAATCTTTGGTGTTGATAATCATGATCAATAGGCTATTTTTTTCTCCACGATAAATTTCATCAATTAGTTATCAACTATTCGAATTCGATAAGAAAATTTCTCCTCGACCTTTTCCTTTTCCTCTGCTCTACAAATAAATACCAAAATAGATCAGAAGATTGCTAATATTTATCTCGCAAAACATCTATACAAGAAAACATGTTTTCCTGCAATTACAAACCTGCCATTCGAGAGACAAGAACAAGCAAGCCGTACGCAAACATCAATTCGTTTCCTTTTTCTTCTATTTTAAATAATAGTAGAACATTTTCGAGAGAACATCTTCTTCTCAAAATACATTTCTAATGAGCGACGACGATCGCATCCTTCCACTTCCCACTTCCCACTTGACTTCCTACCGTTGAAAACGTTTGCAGTTCGGAATAAAATGGTGTATTTCTTTTTGTTTTTTGTCACCAATGTTCATACACACACACACACTCGCACATCGAAGTGCACAGAAGAAAAAGAAAACGACATAGGTACAGAAAACGAGAGCGCGCGAGACGAGAGAGAGAGAGAAAGAAATGAGTACAATTGCAATTGTATGGAAAGAAAAAAATGTTGAGTGACATATAACAATAATAGTAATAATAATAATAATAAAAAAACGTTTTAAGACTATAAGTTATGATAAAATATCTACTTCAATATCTTCATCGCATTTGGTTAGTTCCAATACTTGATGATGTTGAGCATTAAATAAACCTGATCGGTGTTCTTTAGCAGCTTGGCGCTGTTCTTTGCGCTGTCGTAGTTTTAAAGCTTTCTCGATACGTTGATGCAATGGATCACTCTTATTCGACGACAACGATGAATAACCATCACTTTCATCATTCATAGATCCACTCGTGCCAATTAGATTGAATTTAATGATATTTTTAATTCGCCGATGTTTTTCGTCATTCATTTGAGAGAAATCTAAGATAAACTCGGTTTGATGTGGCATTAGTTGTGGACCATCGGGTTGTAAAATTCGAATGATTTCTAGTTGTTCTCGTCGTCCAAGTTGCTTGTTAATAATCAAGGTTAAATCATCGGTTGTGGCTGTTTGTTCATCACTAGTCATTTTCGACCATAACTTGGTCGGTAGTTGTCTTCCATGATTGTTTGTACGGTTTTTTCCTCGAAGTTTTGGTGACGAGGGTGCACTGCGTTGCGGAGCTGGTAAAAGACTAGACGGATTTGGAAATTGTTGAAATAATGAACGCGTATCATCTAATTCAGAAAAATAATCATTCTCGAAGAAATCTGAGAGATCAGATGTGCCAATAAAATCTGCTTCGATTCCAAGGAATAGATCGTCAACAACACCTGAACTATTACAACCACTGATATCCATGTAGAGATCATCGGAGCAAACTGACATAGACTTTGATGATGTTAAATGATTGGATGATG